AAGGAGCTGTTGAGCCCAGCAAGGGGCCGTCCTAGGACAGTGTATTGGGAGAGGCACTCTGTCCGGGTCAGAAGTCCGCAGGGTCAGGAGAACATTGGTGGGCAGGGCACGGGCGTTCTCAAGGCAGGGAGTGCAGCCCACAGCGGGAGCTCCATGGCCACAGGGGCACGGGCCACAGCACCAGGCCACAGGTGAGGCTGGAAAGTCCAGACCCCAAGACATCCGATCAGTGACAAGCCAAGAGGAAGGGACAAGTCATACGAGTAGAGCAGACGGAAAGCCCCCAGCCATGAGTGGCACCCTAGCCCGCACCTCAGAGCTGCGGGAACTCGGGCAAGTGCATTACGTCTGGGCATCTGTAGGCCTGGGGCACTGCTGTCTAACGCAGGCCCACATGCAGGGCTGTTGGGAGGATCACTCGTCCAAGAAGCAGGAAGATCTGGGCCCACACTGGACTGCTGGGCTTGCTGGTCAAACCTCAGCCTCATCCTGGCTTTGAGGCCCTCAGCTCTTCCTTGGAGGTGCAGCCGGAGGAGGCCACAGTCGCCTCTCTGGGCAGCAGGTAACATTGTTTTTGCTTTACTTGCACTTTCCCTTCCCTCCCACCCCGCTGCCCTCTCCAGCTCGCCCATCTGGAGGAGGAGGAGGAGGAAGAGGAGGAGGAGGAGGAGGAGGAGGAGGAGACAAGCTTTCTCCTCTTTTGTCAACTGAGAAGCCTGTCTCCCCCTTGCTGCACCCTGCCGACACCCCACCCACCCTCTCGGGCCTGGGGCTTTCCCTGGGAGCAGAGGATCGGCTGCCCAAGTCAGAACTAGGGCAGGCGAGGAGGGAGGCTTGGCAGGAAGTCCAAATAAGCACTTCCTCCCACCCGCCCGCCCTGGGCTTCGGCTGTGCCTCAGTTCAAACAGAAGAGAGAGAGAGGGGATGAAAAACATATGTTTTTGTGTGTGTGTGTGTGTGTGTGTGTGTTTTTTTTTTTTTTTTAAAGATTGAAATTGTTAACCCTGAGGAAGTGGAAAATATTGCTCCTTAAAGTCTGGCCTGCGGCAACTGGTTCATCCTCTGTCGTGCTTGTCCCAGGACGGGGGTGGGGAGGGGAGCACTGTCCAATGTGGGAGGGAGAAGCATCTTGGTGGCAGCCAGGAGACAGGGCAGTGTGGCTGGCATGAGGCCCTCCTCCACCCGCCACCTCACAGACTCCAGGCGCATGGCAGGCCCACCCCTTGAGGCACACCGCTCTGAGGCTGACACCAATTCTGTGCCTTCGTGTGTGTGGCCACCGGTGTGTGGAGCGGCCCTGCCAGGGCGCAGCCAGGGACCCTTCTCCCCCTATGGGTGCAGCGTTGCCATCCAGAGGATTCTGGATAGATGGTGCTTCCATTGCCAGCCTCAGAGAATGGGGAGGAAAACAGTCCCCTCTCTGTGAGGTGACCGTCCTCGTCCCCTCGGCAGGCAAACCCGCACAGGCCCAGAGGAAGATCCAACAGCAAAGGGAGAGGCTGGGGGAAGCTCACAGGGATGCGTTCTCTGTGGTCCCCAATGTCGATGAGAGAGAATCACCAATCAGCTGCCTCTTGCACACCCCCTACTGGGATGTACCCGCAACCAAGGTACATGCCCTTGATCGGAATGGAACCCAGGACCCTTCAGTCCACAGGCCGATGCCCTATCCACTGAGCCAAACAAGTTCTGGCAGCCCTGATGCACTTCTAAGATGCCTGTCCCGTGCGACCCATCCCTGTGACCTCCCATGCTGCTGCTGCTACTGAGCTTGGGTCTATGGGACCCTGAGCTGCAGGTTCCAAAGCCTAAGAAGGCCCCTGCTAACCATCAGTTAGCTTATTTATGAGTCTGGGCTCCTTTACTTGGCTGGGAGAGAGAGGACTAGGGGAGGGTCCCCCACCTCAGGCCACAGCGTTTCCTGCTCTGCTCTGCTTCATGTTTGAGGCTAAGACTGATGTTCTTTAGAGGATGGATGTGAGTTGGCCCAGCCTTCCCGCTGCAGCATCCCATCTGCCTTGGGCTGTATGCAGAGATTGTGACTGTTCCTGCCCATTTTACAGATGTGAAGCCTGAGGCTGGGTCAATGAGCCAGCCTGCACAGGGTCACGCTGGTCCTCTGGGCCCTCTCCCCCTTAACTCTCCCAGGACTAACTGGCCCTGCCCCTGGGGTTTCTGGAACCCTCTGGCCAGAGACAGGAGATGTGAAACTTGTGAGCATTGGGAAATCCCCGAGGAGAGGGAAGAGGAGAGGCTCCAGGCCGGAAGCAAGCAGCTTCCCCTGTGTCACCTGCTCCCGCCTCCCCAGCTGCCCTTTCCGAGCGGTGGGCATGGGGCTCTATGGGGAGGGGTGCCAGAGGCCTGCCTCCGAGAGAGGGCCCTGTCCTCTCTTAGCTTGTCACTACTGACCACCTACACTGCTCTCCATGGAGGCAGGCGGTAGAGTGGAAACCACGCAGGCTCCTGAGACAGAGTTGGGTTTGGATCCCTCCTCCGTCTTGGGCAGTTCATGTAACATCTGGAGCCTACATGGCACTGAGTTAAGGCAGGTGGACTCAGAGGGGTCGGTGGCCAGTAGCTTTACCTCTCGGAGCCTTGGTTCCCCTTCTGCAAAGGAGACATAATTGTGCCAACATTCCAAGAAGAGAATCAGTGCCAAGTCCTCAGCCCTCCCGGCACCGAGGAGGGGCTCCCGGTGCTTCTCAGCACCACCACCACCACGGCCACCAGCTTTCCTGGCTGCTGTGCCCTCTGCTGCGTGGGCTCCTTGGTTGTCCATCTCGGCCACATTTATCGGACAATTCTTCCCCCGAAGCCTAATACTTAGCCATATCTTCTTTCTAATGTTTGCAGATTTTTATTCTTCTGATTGGGAGGTGAACATTATTAAAAATAGTGCTTCTACTTCTAAGGATGATCTTGAATGTTCCTTTTCCCAGGTACGGAGTGTTTTATTTGCTCATGAAGTACGCCCCAACACACACACACACACACACACACACACACACACACACACACACACAATGTCCTCCCTCTATTCCACCTTCCAAGGCCCTGTATAAATCGCAGCTCATTCTACGGCATCTTTTTTTATCACAATATATATACTTGGAAGTAATCTCTCTCTCTCTCTCTCTCTCTCTCTCTCTCTCTTTCTCTCTCCCTCCCTCCCTCCCTTCTCCCTCCCTCCCTATCTCCCTCCCTCCCTTCCTCTCTCCCTCTTTTCAAATGGCTGCTCTTCCAGGGATTTGAAAAGCAAGGTGACCTCTCCCACTGTGGCCTCTGCAGAGCACAGCCAGTGACTGTGAGCTCTCAGGTCCAGGCCCGGTGAGGAGCACTTGCCCTGGGCTGCCTTGATGGAAGCCCCGCTCCCTGTGAGGCGATGATGATGCCAGCTCAGGTGCCAGGCCTGGGAGGAAATGCAGATGTCATCAAAGCTCAGCGTGACCTGGGAGGCTGGTGCATCACAGGGATGCCCGCCGGGGCCCTTGGGATCTGCATGGATGGAAACGGTGCCTGGCCGCAGCTCCCCCTGGAAAAGCTGGGGAAGGCAGTGCCTCTGGGACAGTGTGGCGTCACTTGGGAAGTGCAACAGAGCTGGTTCTCTCCTCCTCATCGGAGCTGATGGCCTTGTGTGTGTGTGTGTGTGTGTGTGTGTGTGTGTGTGTGTTTGCACGCGGGTGTGCGTGCACACGCACGTAGAGAGTAGACGAAGCTATAAACTTGTGTTTAGAGGTTGCGATGTAGCTTAAATACATTTGCCAACAAAGCTCTCAGACTGTGGGAAATGCAGAGTCTGAAAACATCTACAGAAACAGAGATTCCCCTCCCTGTCTCAAGGCCACTCCAGGGAATGTGTCCTTTGGATGGAATATACAGAGGAAGAAATCGTGAATAGAATATATGGCAGCATCAATACCAATCTTTTAATTTTTTGCCTTTAAGTGAGTCTAGTTACATGCATGTAAGTTTCATGTGCTCATGAAGCAATACATCTGTTTTCCTGCTTTACAGACATGGACACTGAGATTCCAAGATCTTAAGTCCTTACCCACGTTGTGTGGCATGAAAACCATCACACGGGAAATCAAGCCTAATCTGCCTTACATGGCCCGTGCAGCCCCTTTCTCAGCACTGGGTCCAGACTCGCCCACTCACTCACAGAGAACCCGCTGGCGGTAACTCTCAGGGGGCAGCTGAGGACATCTCAATGTTTTCCTTGCAAGGGTGGGGAACCTTATTTTTTATGCTGAGGGCCTTTTGTATATATATATCATCATTCATGGGACATACCAAATTATCAACTCAAAGACTAGCCTGCTATATTTGGCCAAACATTTAATGAGCTCACCCCTGATACCTTGGTGGGGTCAGACCAAATGATTTCTCTGGCCTTACATGGCCCGCGGGCCGGACGTTCCCCATCCCTGCCAGAGAGACTGAGGGGTGGTTGGAAAACACGAAAAGGCCCTGCTGCTTCCCTTGGTAGTTCACTGATGTGGGAGAGTGTCTATATTTTAGGTCAACTGTCAAAATAGATTCTCATCTGCAAAGACCCAGGCGGGCAGGAATGTGGTGCAGACAGATGAGCCAGGGGTTTTAACAGAAACGTACTTGGACTCACACTGGGGTCCAAGGCCCCTTCATGCCACTCCTACGGGGCTGGGCGGCCGGCCGTGGGGAATTACCAGCCTTGGCCTGCTGGGCCTCTCCAGCGGGGAGCTGGCTTCCTTGTTTACTTATTTAGTGCCCAGCAGAGGAAGTGGTAAAGGAAACTTGCTGAGTCGTTTTCTGAGAAGAGACCATATTTGTTCGTGGAGGAAGCGATGCTTTCTGGGATCTGGCTGCGGCAGAAAAGACGTTGGCTCTGACAAGGCTGCTCCAGAGGGTAACTGGGCGTGGGGAGAGCCAAGGACACCCCCACGCTCTGGACTGGGGTTCTCCGTCCATGGGTGCCGCACCCATGCTCAGCCTGTGAGCGTCCTCCCCGGAGAGCAGCCATGGCCTTGAGAAACGTGCCCTTCCGCTCCGAGGTCCTGGGCTGGGACCCTGACAGCCTCGCAGACTATTTCAGGAAGGTGAGCCTTGCTCTTTGGTGGTGGGGGGCTGGCAGAGCCTTGGAGAGGGGTGGACAGAGGCTTGAAAGTGGGGTCCAGGCAGAATGCAAGAGGCATGAAAGATAGCAGCGAACTTCTAGCCTTGCAGTCATCTCACCAGTTGATATGCCTACACCACCAGGTGTTCCCGCAATAAGATCTGGGGAGGAGGGAGGTCCTCCATTGAATGTGTACCTACTATGTGCAGGGCTTGAGTTTGTGCTCTCCAGGCACTGTCTCATTTCACACTCTCCACTCCAGGACTGTTTAACGGGGTCTGTCCCCTAGCTCAGCTGCAAAAAATTAGCTCAGGGAGGACCAATGGCCCAAAGCCCCAGGGACTACATGTGGCAGAGGCAGGATTCCGGTCTGTCGCCTGTCTGGTTTCAGAGTCCGAGGTCTGAGATACAGAACTGCTCTAACCTCCAGTGAGGTGAGGCTCCTTATTAGAAAGGGAGAAGTGGTGCCCTGGGCGGGGGGAGGGGAAGGCCGTGATGAGCAAGGCCCGAGGCGGCAGTCCTTGTTCATCGCCCTGAAGGAGGGCTCCTTGGCCTCTTATGAGAGACAGCCTGTCCTTGGAGCTTTAGGAGAGTCTTGCCAGGCAGGTTAGAGAACGGATAGGGGCCTAGGTTAAAGCTAGGGAAACTGAGGCTCCTGTAGAAGGGTCAGAAGTGAGCTACGGCAGAGCTGAGACCAGAATGTCCTTGTCCTGCTGGAGCATTGGAGATGCTCGAAGAGCCCCATGCTTCGTCATCTGCTGGTGGGACCACAGGTCGCATAGTGGTTTGGGCAGATCCCAAGCCATGTGACTCAGTTAGGGACAGTCTCTCCCTGTCCAAGGGATAGGGTGTCTTGTGAGGGACATTTGACCTTTCGGCACCTGCACTGGGGAGGCTGGCCTCACATTCAGTTGACACTCCGGACACTCCAGATGAGATTTTAAAGCCGAGGCCTTAGAGATGATCTAAGCCCTCGCTCTGTTTTTCCTGGGGTAGCACAAGCTCCCGAGATCACACAGCCAACCCTGGGGTCTGTGTAACGACCCCCCTTCCCCCCAGGTGTGTACTGTCACCGTTCTTTCCCGACCTCAGGAAGAACAGTCTGAAAATGTTAGATCAGGTGTGGCATGATGGAGACACAGCCCACGAGCCCTGCTGTTGCTGCTTTTGGGCGTCTCCTTTCTGTTCTTTCCTCCGAAAGGTCCTCTCGCCTTAGGTTTCAGCATTGTGGTTGCAAAGACGGTTGGGAAAACTGACTTCTGAAGGTTATTCTAAATGTTTTTTTTAAACGTAGACCAACTGAAACAGGGCAACCGGTGAAATTTGCCAAGATTTCTATCAAGCAGCATGTCAGCTCAATAACGAAAGGGGAGAAGGGTTGAGAATTAGGGAGGGAAACCAGGGGAAACCAGGGGACCAGACTCCATCTCCAATGGGAGGAAAAGAATGCACACCCAGTCCAGACACAGAAGGACTGATGGTCAGTCTCCCTGCCCCAGGGAGATGGATCCCAGGCCTGGGGTGGTTCAGGGTGAGGTCTCTGCCTGAGCTGGGGAGAGGGAGAGCTTTCTGCTTGGAAATTCCACACCCTGGTTAAGTCCACAGCTCCTGCATAAAAGGACGGAAGGGGGGAATGGGGAGACTGCAGGGCCCCTGTGACCTGGAAGTCCCCCAGAGACACAGATAAAGACCCTTCAGATTCTAAGCATTTCAGTCCCCCTGAAAGAAAATACAAAATGGGGATGGATCTTAACCATCAAATTTGCTATTGAAAACCCTGACTGGCAGGCACAATTTCTAATGAAGCAGTGATATCCGGCCCCACTTAGAGACATCTCCCAGCCAGCTCTGGAGTCAGACATGCCTCAGTTTGAATTCTGATTGTGCCACTTGCTAGCTGGGTGACCTTGCCTTCGTTACTTGACCTCTCTGTGCCTCAGTTTCCTCATCAGTCTAATAGAGATTCTAACAGTTACTAACCTCATGGGATTGTTGGGAGAATTAAAGGAAGTAACGCATGTGAGGCATTCAGCAGAGAGGGGGCAACTGATGATCGAGCTTCCATTTTTCCTGCTCTAGTTGCTGGCCCCCAGCTGGGTGCCCAGGCCCAGGCAGACTGGCAGGTTCTTGTGTCTTATTGTCTCAGCTACAAAGTAGCTCATCCTCTGTCTGGAATGCAAGCCTCGGAGGAGGACTTAGCCATGGTTTGTACTTCTTTAATCCCTCCCTCCAGTTCCGTTTGACTTGGGCCATACACTAGAAAAGGCACTGGCTCAGAGCCGTGAGTTCCAGTCCCAGTTGTGTCCCCAGCTCACTGCGTGATGTTAGGCCCCAGAATCAGGCCTCTCTGGGCCTCGGTTGTCCCGTTTGCCGCACCAGGTACCTGCTCTAGTTCAGTGCCAGTTCACACTGGGTGCTCATAAATGCCACCTAAGTATTTGCTAAAAATATAGATTCTAGCCCCCAAGCCCAGATATTGTTAGAATATCAGAATCAAACTCCCAGGCAGGCCTCAGTCTGCAAGGCTGTCTATCTATCTAGAGGTGAGGTCAGTGTTTTGCAAAATCAGAGGTTCATCTGACAACGATGACAGTGAAAATGATAAATTAAAGGCAGCTGACTCTTCTAAGAACCACTTACAGCTCAGAGCACGTAGATAAGAGGGATGCTGCGTGCTTTCCACACTGACCTCTAAATCAGCCTTTTCTGATCATCCTACCCTTCCAAGCCAAGAGGTTACAACAAATGTGCTTACTTACTTCTTCGTCTTGTTGGCCATAAGAAAAGGTCACCATGTTAAACCTGTGCCCAAAGAAGACGGCCACCAACTGGGACATAGTTGTAAGGAGAACCTAAGATTCTCAAGGACAAACATTTCACCTTAAATACTCCATCCCTACACATCAGCTTAAAGATAGTCCCGATGCGAATTCATATGCTGTTGCAGACAAGGTAGCACGGACACCTGAAAGGGTTGTTGATGGATGTGACTCTTTAGGAAAGAAACCGAGACCCTCAAAATAATTATCTCTTGTTAATCCTATAACTCTATTCTGAGAATCTACCTTAAACAGTTTCTCTTAACACATTGCACCCAGCAGTTTTATTGCTAGCTTTACCCAGTGGCCAGATAAGTTTCTATTGAATGAGTGCAAAAAACATTTTACAAAATACCATACTTTAAAAAGTTATTAGCTTGTAAGAACATGTAATAACTTCAAAATACAGTGGGTATTTTAATTTTAAGGTGTGCCTTTAACATTTATGTAAAACACTATGTAATATGAAAACACGAGAATGCTCGTGATCCGCCCGCAATGTGTTAAGTAGAAGAAAACGAAAATGGATGCAAAAGAATGGCCGTGATGTCCTTGATAAGATTTATTATAGATGGTGTATTAAGTTGCACTTAATTTGTTCACTTTACTTAAGGCTAAATTATAAATGTTATTAACAAATATGGGACCGTTCCTGACATTAAAAGCTTGACCGGAAGCCTGGTTGTCACTTCTGTCACCTACTTCCTGGGGAGCATCCTACAGGTTACTTGACTCTGTGCCTTTGGCTCTTCACTGGAGAAGGCCAGGATAAAATAATTAAGATTAGTCCTGACCAGTTGGCTCAGTGCATAGAGTGTCGGCCTGCGGACTGAAAGGTCCAAGGTCCAATTCTGGTCAAGGGCACGTACCTTGATTGCGGACACATCTCCAGTGGGGGGTATGCAGGAGACATCTGATCAATGTTTCTCTCTCATTGATGTTTCTGACTCTCTATCCATCTCCCTTCCTCTCTGTAAAATATCAATAAAATATATTTTTAAAAAATAAAATAAAACGACTAAGATTGGTTTAAATACTAAACAATGCCTGCCATCGAGCAAGCATTGGATAATTTTCAGCAGTTGCTCTTACCATTATTGAAGCAGCAGTTTGGTAAACAATCTAAATGTTTAGCAACAAGGGATCAATGAAACTAATGTTTAAAATAAATTTGCAATACATGAGACAGTGCTTATATTGCCCGAGGGTAATTTTGAGAAAAAGTCAGGCTCACAAGATTGAAAGTAAGTTATAACCTCAGTTATGTTTAGAAGGTACTTGGAGTGAAAGCGTGGAAGGAAACACACAGCCATGTCCAAGAGCTTGTCTTTGGGTGGCGAGACAATGGGGGCTATTTATTTCCTTCTTCTTGATCCTCTCCACTTGCCCGAGGAGCAGAATAGCCTGGAAGGAGCCCCCTTCTTAGGGGTTGGCCCCAGAGCTTTAGACCGAGGCAAGTTCTCCATTTCGCAGTCCCACAGGATTAGTGAAAGCAGGGGTGAGGTGGGGACGGGCCCTCTGTTAGACAGGGGAGGGAGCGGGGAGTCTGGCTAGCCACAAGTACCACAAATTGCTGAGCTTCTGGGCCAGGCAAGGGAGGGGAACCAATGGCATGAGCCTGCCACTCACAGCACCTTCCTCTCCTCTTCGCAGCTGAACTACAAGGACTGTGAGAAGGCCGTGAAGAAGCATCACATCGATGGGCCACGGTTTTTGGTAAGTGCTGCTGGTCCGACACATGGAGGCTGGAGCTGTTCTGTGCTTCAGCTGATGGCTGCAGGGTCAGCTGGTCTACCTGTCCTTGAGGGTGCTCAGGATCAATGCCTGTCTGCCGGACCCCAGACAACCTTTTGCCTTCCTTAGAGGTTTTGTATGAACCCCTCTCTCATCACCGCTCAGAATCCTCCTATGTAGAGTACTTCCTACATCTTTCACTGATGCCAAGGTCCATTCTAAAGCCAAAGTATAAAGAAGAAACCCAATATAGTTAAAACCACACACACACACACACACATACACCTTGAAAATCTATTCAAATACCACCCATACTTTGAGAAATCCAAGTCCAAGGGAGAAAAGGCCATCTGGGAGAACAGAAGGAGTCTTTTTCCCCAATCTCTTATTCTGGGGTACATGCTCGTGGAATGGGATAGAATGGGATCACCCTCATTATTTCAATTACATCTCTATTTCTTGCTACTAAATTCACAGTCTTGTGCCAATTAAACACATGGGATATGGCTCTCTCCACTCCATGATGTTGCATACCACTTTAAGATGCATTTGTATATTAAGGACTAAGCCTTTGAATGGAAGGGATGCAGATCTGATGGTGGGGATGGAGGCAGTGGGTGCTGGTGGGGGTATGGTCTGAGCATTTCCCCTGAAATGACACCTTTGCCAATTGGGAAAGAGAGACCTTGACTATACAAGTGCACCTCCAATCTTCTTCAATCCCTTCAGTGATGGTGAGCTCATTGCTACCTATAGTCATTGGCCCCTTTCTGGGCAGCACCAAAGTCTCATGCTGAGACCAGACCTCTGTCCCTATGGTTCTGAGTTTTGCTTTCTTGTGTCATGTAGGATGTGTTTATTCACAGTCCCAGGTACATCATTTCATTTGTTGACCTATCCCTTTATCTGACAAGCATTTCCCTGAGTTCTTCTTACACATCAGACCATTCCCTGTGCTGGGAATACAGGGATGGTTAAGATGTGACTTCTGCCTTCCAGAGGCTAGTCTTAGTGCAGACAGGGATCTTGAGGCGGGCTCCCACCACCTCGTTTGCAGTTGAGGAATAATGCACAGGAGTGTGATGGGACTTGTGTGAATGCACACACTTAGCAATTGGACTCAAGTGCACATTTTAATGCAGCCTAATACTGTATGTGTTTTTAACAATGCTATTTCTCCATACTGAGCTTTCCCCCAATAGAACGCCTGGAGTTTTGTTGTTATTGCTCTTGCAGATTACTGCTAAACCCAAATGTTCCCTTCTGGCATCTTTAGCACTGAGAACAGAGACCTTTTGGGACTGAGTAGGAAAGGGGTGAGATGGCCAGGAGGATGGTCCTGATGCCCTCCCTGGCTCACCTTGAATAAACATTGCCCGCTGAGCGTGCCCTAGCTCCCTCCTCTGTGAACGAGCATGTTGGATCGGGTGATGGTCCTTCCAGCCTGTGGATCTCCCAACATTCCCCGTGGGAGTTTGAGGCCTGTTAGGACCGGTTGTTCCCTGGGTGGAGAAGTGGTATCTGAGCTACTTTTCCTTTTCTTTCTTCCTTCCTTCCTTCCTTCCTTCCTTCCTTCCTTCCTTCCTTCCTTCCTTCCTTCCTTCCTTCCTTCTTTCCTTCCTTCTTTCCGTCTTTCCTTCCTTCCTTCCCCCATCCCTCCTTTCCTTTATTCTTCTGCAGCATAGGAGCTGCCATGTTTCTCGGGTCTGTTCTGCTACCGCTTTGTTTCCTTGTGAGAAGGTAAGACCTTGTCTCTCCTCCCAGCTCCTGGCCCTGTGCTGAAGGGCTTCCTCTTCCCTAACAATTGCTGCTCTGTCTCTGGCCACACTCACATCCACCTTCTCCTTCCAGAAGTTTGGAGAAAAGGAAGAGGTGTGCTTAGGGAGGTGTGTGGCTGCATGTAACAGGAACATAATCACCGTGGCTCAGACACATCGGGGTTTATCTCTATCAGGTGGTAAGACATCTAGAGGCGGGCACTCATGGCTGGTGAGCTGCCGAAGGAAGTCACTGAGGACCCAGGCCCCATCCCGCTCATGGGGAAAGCCTGTGGCTTCTGTCCTCAGGGCAGCAAGAGGCTACTCCGCCTCCAGGCATCCCATCTGCATTCCAGGCAGGAGGAAGGGGGAGGGGCAAAGAGTACAAGTGCATGGAGAATGCATCCTCCTTGTTTGCAGGAAACTTCTAGAAGCTCCGCCCAGTAGACCTCAATTATCTCTCCGGTCATACTGAGTCCTATGACCTCAGCCATCTGCAAGTGTGTCTAGAGTATTACATATTACGTATTTTGAACAGGACATGTCTGTTGCCCTGAACGAAATGCAGGTCCTGTCAATAAGGAGGAAAGAATGTGCATGGGGCAGTTAAGCATCAATGTCATTTGGGCCATGTTGTCCCTCCACATGGGGCCATTCTGCAGCTTTCCCCTCTCTCCTGCCCCTCCTGAGGATACACTCAGCACAGAGTCACATTCCCCAAAGCCACAAGTCTCACTCTGAGTCATTGCACAAGTAGCCCAGGGTTTGCTGGAGGCATTTGAAGGAGGTGGGGGAGGAGATTACATCACACAGCAGACTGCCCAGTAAACCCCTCTCCTCCTAGCTTCTGGCCCTGTTCCGAAGGGCTGGCTCTTCCTTAACATCTGCTGCTCTGTCTCCAGCCACGCTCACCTGCACCTCCTCCTTCACTCTCTCCCTGGAGCTCCCTCAGCATCCGACCTGACCCGGCTTAGCAAACCCAAAGTGGGTGGCCAGCCACCCCAGGAGGCCCTCCCCTCTACATACCACACTCGGGACATGAGGCCTCGTACATCCCTGGGCGGGGTGGGGTGTGGCAGAGGAGATTACACTGCTCAGTGATATTGACGAAGATGAAGAGAAGTTAAGAAGTTTAATGGAAATCCTGATTTTTTCTGCCCCAGCCCGTCTGCAGGTCTGAGGAGGGGCCTGCCTGACCCCAGAGCTCCTGCCCAGGCTCTGGCCTCAGTTGGCATGCCAGTGGAGCCCCTTTGGTTCTACAGAAAGTGTGCCCTCCCTCTTCTGATCCCAATATGGCACCCCTGCCTCCCCTCCGTCCTTCCAGCCACCTTCTCTCCCCCTCCTCCCGTCCAACTTAGGCCCCTGGGCCCTCAAAAAGCTTGGACTTGGGAGGAGGGAAGCTGATGGGAAGAACATTGACCACAGATGCTCTATCGCCCACAAGCTGAAATTCCCTTAAACCTCCAAGCCTCAGTTCCTCATCTACAAAATGGGGACCCTGGCTGTTCCTACAACACAGGGTGGATGTTAAGGTTAATCAAGGTGCTATAAGGCAGAGGGCCGGTTCATCACAAACATTATTTCTTCCTTCTTTCCTTCTCAGTTTCCTCAGGAAAGCCTCATTGTCGCGTCCCCACATCTAGAGAACTCTGTCAGTAAGCCTGGTGAGAGAGGCATTTGGGGTACAATGGTGGTATGAGGCCCAGATTCCTTCTCCGAGTGAGCTTCTCACAGCTGCTTAGCTCCTACAGAGACTGAGGGGCCCTGAAGTCCGGGGTAAGGGCCTCAGATGGCAAGAGGTCATCACATGACAGATTCAGCCCACCAAACAAATTCTCTTGGGTCCACAACTCAGCATTTAAGTCAAGATTATTTGTCAAGAGAACTCAGGAAGTGGCATTCCCTTTGAAAAAGGTAGACCCAGCAACACCAGGCCCACAGGCCTTTCTGCAGCATCTAGAAGCATCCCACTTTGAGTGGGTGGGCAGTGTACTCTTCAGTGTGCTGCAGTCCCTACCACTCCCTATTGTCTCACACCTGATTCTAGAGCCCTGCCTGCAGTTGTAACCTGCCTGTGTCTTCATTTCAGAACCTGACAGAAAATGATATTCAGAAGTTCCCTAAGCTCTCGGTACCGTAAGTATCCCCCCCAATTCGTTGGGTGGTTTGGGGAACAGAGGTTGGAATGGGGAATAATTCAGGGGGAGCTGAGTCAGTGATGTCTTCCTGTTGGTTTGAAACAGGAAAAGGAGTGCAGGCAAGGGCAGGGTGTGTGTGTGGGGGGGGGGGGGAGGGAGGGAGTGGAAACACTGCCAGTCAAGTGACCTGAGGTTTCATTGTGGTGTCATCAATGAAATCCATGATTGCTTAAGTTTTCTGGACCTAGTTTTGAGCTCAGTGAAAGGAGAGAATGAGCTCAGCGTGAAGAATGAGGAAGAGCATCCTTTTGTCTGTCAGTGCTGACTGCTTGGGAATGTGGCAGGGAGGACACGGTGTTGAGAAGAGTTCCCAGGGAAGGCCACGTGATCCATTACTGAAGTCTGACATGGGTGCTGACATGAGAAGCCCGGCGTGCCTAGCACTGTGGTTGGCAAACTGTGGCTCACGAGCCACATGCGGCTCTTTGGCCCCTTGAGTGTGGCTCTTCCACAAAATACGATGTGCGGGAGTGCACGTGCAGTGTGATTGAAACTTCGTGGCCATGCGCAGAAGTCAGTTTTCGGCTCTCAAAAGAAAATTCAATCATTGTTGATATTTGGTTCTGTTGACTAATGAGTTTGCCAACCAATGGCCTAGTATACCATGTGTGCGTTCCATCCCTCTATTTAGGGTCCCACGGCCTCCGATGCTTCCAGGAGCTAGGCAGTTAATACAAATGTGTAAAATGACCAGGTTGAAAAATGCAAAGCCCTATTGATTTTTTTATTTTTATTTTACCACCTTTGTGTGTGTGTGTGTGTGTGTGTGTGTGTGTGTGTGTGTGTGTTTTAAATATTGATTTCAGAGAGGAAGGGAAGGGGGAGAGAGAGAGAAATATCCATAATGAGAGAGAATAATTGATCAGCTAGCTGCCTCCTATATGCCCCCACTGGGGACTGAGCCCAAAACCCTGCCATATGCCCTGACCAGGAATCCAACCATGACCTCCTGGTTCATAGGTCTATGTTCAACCACAGAGCCATGCCAGCTGAGATCATATGAATAAGACATGGGTATGGAGACATATTTTTTCTCTGTAAGAAAAATAATAGCACAATTATGATGATAAATGAGGTAATCAACGCAAAGCCTCATTGGTGGTGAACAGTAGGGAGTGGTGGAGATTGTGGCAAATCAAAATTATATTCTCCACCCACAGAGAGCAGCAGATACTCAGCTCCAAGAATGTGGACCCAAGAATGTTCAATCTCTGACTTTACCAAAAGTAGCTAGTTAGCGTGGCTTTATCTCAATTTTTAAATGTTGGCTCAGATATTGTTAAATATCTAAGTAAACATACCTATGAGCTAGATTTTGACTGGGGGACACAAGTTTGAGACCAGACTCTGGACATTCTCTGAGGTCCTTTCTCTTGCTCCAAGGGTCTCAGAGCTCATACTAATAAGAGGGAAGGAGGGCAATGGAGGAGGAAGCCGGGGAGGTCTCTTGGAAGTATGACTGCTAGAGAAGATCAATTAAAGGGAATAGGACCCTCAGGTTTCCCTTATCGGAAAGGATGAAGGAAAAAAGGGATAAGGATTTGCCTTTAGTGCTGCCTGTCTCCATGGGCAAGTGTTGTTGAAGAATGTTTATTCTTCCCAAGGGTTTTCTCTAACTACATATAGCAGCTCTATAAATGCAAATGAAATGGAAAATTTAGTTCCTCAGATACTAACCACATTTTGGTGGCTGATGGCCACATGGAACAGGTGACTACTGTATTGGAGGGTGCAGACAGAATGTTTCTATGCTTGTGCAAATATAATGCTGTAGAAAAAATACCATGGTTCGATGTAAAGAAGAGAATTTAACACACAGGGGTCAGAATTGGTGGCTGGTCAGCCAGAGCCAGCCTGCAGGCAAGGTAGGTTTGATCTACACAGGGTTTTAAAATCAAAGTATGTTTCATAAAATCTGGCTTCTTTAGAAACAGAAGCTTCAGTAACCCTGGGCTCATGTTATAATGTGGGAGAGTCAGCTGGATCTGAGTGTCTACTGCCCTGTTTAGATAGGGGGGTGTTCTCCCCAGTTCACTGCAGTCCCCACCACCCCCTAAGGTGCCCTAGTCATTTCTAGCTTATGAATGGAAACTTTTGCTTTCTGACCAATAAAAAGTGATGAGACCAGATTTACACTCCCACCTGAAATAACCAAATAACTAGACAAAATACACAAAACAGCAATTTTTAGGCATGGGAATCAGACAATGAGAGACGGAAAGTGAATGTGGTGGTGGTGGTCTCCATGATTGCTCACTGCTTTCTTTGAGGGAGTCTCCAGGCCATGGCAGGGGACACGGGTGGAGTCTGCTGAACTCATTGAGTTGAGGGGACAGGGCTAAGGGTCCAGAAGGCAAGGGTTCACTGAATTCAGATCAGAGAAGAGAGAGCTGCCCTGAGGAAGTGCCCTGGAGGACTGCAGGGTCCCTCTGTAGCAGAGCTTCTATTGGAGCAGGCACGTATGGAGATGTCCTAAAAAGAACCACCCAACATTAGAGGGAATAGCATCTGGCCACGAGGCCAGACATGGTGCCTGTGTCTACCGATCAGACTGGAGAAACCTCCGATTCACAGTCATTGGGGACAGTGATTCTTTAACAATAGAAGGCCTTGCCTCAGTCATGGGGGGTGGTTAGCCCTAGTCTAAAAAATGTCTGTCCCTACCTGGTGAGTCTTAACAGCAAGACTGGAAAAGCAAAACAGAATACAAAAACATCCATCACCCAACAAAGTATAGTTCACAAGGTCGAGCATCAAATCAGAAATGAATGGTACACAAATCAGCAGAAAAGTCTGACCTATAATGAGGAGAAAAATGAAGCATTGAGACTGACCCATAACTAACATGGATAATAGACTTAGCTGACAAGGGCAATATAACTGTGGTCCATACGTTCAGAAAGTTAAGTTGAGGCTTGAGAAATACAAAAGGACCCAAAGAGAACCTTCTAGAGATAAAAATGATAATGTCTGAGATGAGACATGCATTGCTTGGGATTAACAGCAGATCAGACACTGCAAAAGAAATATTAGTAAACATGAAGAACCAGCAATGGCAACTACCCAAAATGAACTGCATTGCTTTATTAAAATAAAACAATAAAGAGTGCCAAGGAGCTGTAGAAAACTTCCAGTAGCCTAATAGATGTGGAATTAAAGTCCAAAGGAGGGGAAAGTGTAGAGAGAGCCTACCTCAAAGGGTCAGTAGGAACATTAGAGGAAATAATGGGGAGATAATAAAATGTATGGAAGAAGGGTCAGCTGTTCTTATTATTCTATGCAAAATCCCCATTAGCACGATATCAAAGTTTCACTAATTATCCTATCTTGGTAAGGGTGTGTGTGTGTGTGTGTATGTGTGTGTGTGTGTGTGTGTGTGTTAAGGAATAGAAAGGCATGGATTTTGGAGCCAGGGAGAGCCAGGTTCAAAAGCCGGCTCTGCCTCTTCCGAGCTGGGGCAGTCACTTTAACACTCTGGCCTCGGCTTCCTCTTCTACAGAGGGGGAAAGAGCCAACCCCCAGCAGTGGATTTTCAGGGAGGCAGTCCACATAAGGGGCCTGGAGCTGTTCTTGACCTATATCCATAGTCACCACTTATTCATTCCTATCCCTTGCTCATAGGTCCATTTGCCCTGTTCATTACCCGAAAGATCTGTGAAGGAGAATTTGTTTATATGCAACAGACTGAAACCCGATTGCACTTCTCTGAATCTACTTCCTCCCCCCTCCCCTGATTAAAAAGTCAGTATTAAGCGGGGGTTTTGTCAGAACATGCATGCTGGTGAGAAGGGCTTTCTCTGTCTGCAGATGTTGTTGGTCTCTCAGAACAATGTCTCCCAGAGAGAGACACCCCAAATTCTAGAATGGGGGACAGGTTTCAAATAGGAAAATGGAGCCTCCTTCTAGAGGGCCTAGTCCAAAACCAACACAGAGCTGAGCAGGAGCTGGGTAAGCCGGTAGAGTGCGTGATAAAGTCTGCTGATGCCTGTTGGGAGGTTACTTAAAAACCCATATTGGAAGTTTTATATTTAAATCCACAGGGAGGGCCAACGCCTTGCCTGAGGTCGTAGGGTGGGCTCTGCCCATGGGCACAACGAGGAAATGCCAGACTGGCCCCTACCACGCAGCGAGCAGGGGTGCAACTGGGCTGGCACAGGTCACGGCAGGGTGTCACCTGTTGCAATGGCCTAGCTTCCTACTGGAAGGTTCAGCCCCTCTTCCTCAGCCAGTGAACCCCTAAAAATGAGACAGAGAAGAGAACTATGTCTACCAGCTGCCCAGCCCCCTCTGCCTGGTTCCCTGGCTCTGAGTGAGGCGTGAGGTTTGTGGGAAGGAGGGGGAATGAGTCACCTCCGGCCAGTCACTGTCACTTGGTCCTCTGGGGGTGTGGGAGTGGAGGACAACTTACAAAAGTTTGCACACAGGGGAAGCCACTGCCTTCCTGACCTGTCCCCCCAAAACTGAGCGTGGTCCCAGCTGGCTAGGAAGGTGTCCTCTGAGGCCTACCAAAGGAGGACCCCAAGAGCCCAGGTTTTGCTGCAAACCAGAAGGGCAGGCCTGCTCCGCTCTCTCAGCTCTTAGCTTCTCTTTTGCTGGGGCCTGTGGTTTGGCATTTCCTTCCTTAGCCTCCAGCCTGGCTGCTGAAGATACTGGTGAGAAGTGACACCTCCGCCTCGCAGAGCAGGAGGTCCTTCTAGGATCAAAGCAGCCCTGTGAGTCAGAGCCCAGCCAGGCTCTGCAGGACCCGGTGGGGGCGGTGAGGTGGGCCGCCCCACCTTCCTTAGGTCCCTGCTGAAATGTCATCTCAGCAGGAGCCCTGCTCCTTCTCAACTGCGCTGCACCCTCCCCTGCACCCTGTGCCCGTCCCATTCCTGCCCCTCCCCCCACCATGGCATGTTTGTATACACAGGTCTCACCTAGCTTTCACTTCCTTAAATGTTCATTGTGCCTTGTCTTCTCTCTGAATTAGCATAGAACCTCCTGGATGGCAGGGAGCTTTGTTTTGTGCACTGAGGTGCCCTGAACCCATTCTTGGCACATTGTGGAATGGAGGGGGTACCTCCAACCTGGCCATAGGCCAGACACCACCAGATCTCCCTGCCCGGATTCCCTCTCTGGAATCCTCTCATCCTCCACGTCAGAGGGAGGAGAGGGGCCCTTAGCTACTCAAAACTATCACTTAAAGGAAACAAAGGAGCCATGTCCCAGGTGACACATGTCCCAGGTGATAATCAGAAGGCCATTGGGAAGCCCCAAGTGTTTTAGAGTTCTTCCCTTCCGGGTAGTCAGTAAAGTGTGAAATCCCAACTGGACATGGGATTAAGCACTGCCCTCCCCTTCTGTCCTCAGAAGTCCCCATTGCCTTGATCACATTTAGTTTAGCTATCAATCTAATGAGGGAGGAGGGTTTTGGCAGCAGTGCTGGGAGTCTGGAGAAGCATGGATCTGGGGTCTGGAGGGTTGCTGGTCAGGAGGGAAGCAGGACGTGGAGGGTGCTGAGCACTGCCTTTCTAACAGTTATTTTGTTCTGGGCGAGGCTTGTTACCTGGAGACAGTCACTTCACAGGAGGCCCGTAGCTCCTGGGTCATTCTCAGATGGGCACAATGCATAGTGCTCACCGCTGATGGGCGTGAACACAGGAAGTGGTGTGCGGGGTGTGCTGGCCTGGAAACTGGGGAGCCCTGCTTCTGTGTTGTGGGGAGAGGGGTGGCCTTCATCACTAACCCACAGGTGGCCTGTCCCTGCCTTTGTTTGGGCCATCTATAAAATGTTAGACCAGATTATCTCCAAGGCTCCTCCCAGCTGCCTGAGCCCCTTAGAAACTCAGAGCCAGTTCACTTCGGTGGTCTCAGCAGTGGGTCTGAAGGGAGGCTGGGGTACCGTGTCCTGGGGGTTTGCTAGAGCCCAAGGAATGGATGCCTATACCCCTATGGCCAGGGCCTGCTTGTGTGCGGTCCCGCCGGAGAAGGCCCCTCTGTCCTGGCGTGTGGGGATTTTCTGGTTCACAGCTCCCAGGATCTAGAATATCTCCAGGAGTCCTGGCCATGGTTAGCTTCAGGGCATGGGTGATGGAGGGAGTCTCCCACTCCCACTCCTACTCCGCAGGCTCCTCCTTGACCGGGAATACTTCTCTGAGATTAGAACACATGTCACCGAGTGGGGAGGCAGGCAGAGGAGAATGAAGGAGATCCGGGGTAATGAACAGCCCCTGTCAAGCGCTATACAATCCTCTCCGAGATGATTCAGGCTTCCTAGAAGCCAGGCATCACCACAAGGGACCAGGAGTCAGAGCACCTGAGCCAGGAAGGCTCACGCGATAGCATTCATACACGGCGATCATCTTCATGTCATATGGCTGAGGACGCCGGAGAAGGGGGCCGGGTGTGAGCTGACATGTCTTCACGGAGGGCTCGGGGCTAGACTGAGGAGGCTGAGCCAGACAGAGGGCTCCTGGGCAGGAGAAGGGCTGCCAGGGCATGCAGGCGACCAGCTCCGGGGGAAAGTGAGGAGAGGAACCGCCTAAGGGACTGGCTGGAGGCTGAGGAGAAGGCTGGGGGAGGCTGGTCCAGACGTGTGGTCGGCTGGGTTGAGTGGGAAGGCTGGGGCAGATGGTTTGGTCACCTTCTCTGTCCCTTTGTCTTGCAGGATTCTCAGTAAGTTAAGTCAAGACATCAACAAGAATGAGGAGAGGAGGAGCATCTTCGCAGCACGCAAGTGAGTGGGCCCCGTGTGCTGGAGGGAGGGCGAGGGTTTTCCTACCCAAGTCGGGCCTTACTTACATGGGAGGCGCAGAGCTGGTTCAGCTGGTGTTTGATCAGTGTCCCTTCAGTCCCGGCGTCTGGAAGCTGGTTTCTGGTGGGGGTTGGGGGGGAGGGAGTGGGGGTGTTCCGGCTCTTTACCCTGCACCCCGGGTCTGGGATGTCAACAAAACTTCTCCGAGACAGACAGGCAGTCACAAGCTGTCCGTGGCCCCACCCGTGTGGCTTTGGTGGTTTCTAGAATTTGGGGCTTTCTGGCTCTGGTTGCTAAGTGACAAGGACATCAGTCCTGGGTGGTGAGACATACTCTCCACTGGGAAGTCCTCCTGCAGGGCCGGATGGAGGGAAGGGGGAGCCTCCTGAAGTCAGTAAGGCCATTAACGCAACGCTGCTTGCCTTTGCAGACCCCAAGTCCAGCGGTTTCCTGAGGAAATAGGTAAAGGTCTCGGGGCAAGAGAGATGGTTTTGGGGAGCTGGGGGGCGGGGGGACTTCAGTCCTGGTTCCTAGGGCTCCTGTGTGGCATGCCGGTGACCTTGTTCATTTGCCTGTTAGCCAGTTCTGACCCAGAAAAGGGTTTGGGTCCCGACTGAGGGCAGGAGAGATGTCACTATACAAGGCGCTTGGCTTGTGGCCCTGCTCAGCAGGGACCCTCTGCAGAGAGACAGTGAGGAATGGGGGGTGCGGGGGTGGTAGGGGTGCGGGAGAACACAGGCTTTGGCTGGGCACTGCGTGGAGCCAGCCCCATGCCTCTGAGCCTCTAAAACATCTCCCAGTGGTTACATCGGCGACTTGAAAGCACTCTCGGTGGCTGGCACACGGGAGGTGGAGAGCCCGCTGCCCTCAGAACGAGCACTCAGGGGGTGTCAGGTGGAAAGGAGGCCAGGGACAGGGCACTAATGGGGGAGGCACCCGAAGGGAGAGCTACTTTCACTTTCTTTCTAGAGCCTTCTTTGGTACTAACGAGGCATTGTCTCCTTTCACAGAAAGCCATGAGGAGGAGGAGAACGGGGGCTGGTCGTCCTTTGTGAGTATGGCTGGCTGCCTTCCAGCAGGTGCCAGAGCACCTTTGTAGTAAGGAGCAGGCCTCTCACAGAGGCCAGTGTACCTGCCACGGTCAGGGAACGTGGGGAGGCAGGAGAGTAACTCCCTGCCAGCCCTTCGTTTGCCATCCACGTGGGAGCACCCCAGCTTCTCTTACAAACCCAGATGCTGGGTAGAACTTGGCCCGTACAGTGCAACCCACACTGTTACCCACCATTGCCACCCACGACAGGGCCTCCTCACCCCTCCCCTGCTTTAGAGCGGCTTGGATGGAGCTTTTCTCATGCACACAACTCCCCCCTGGTGAAGCGATAGGAAGGGGATTTTAGGATCAACCTTTAGCCATGAAAAGACCTCAGGGAAGGTTCTGGCTGGTTGGTTTTATAGTTGAGGAATCACAGTGATCCTTTTGAGGTTCTGATGAGCTCTGCACACCCTCACCCCTCATATCCAATATACACTGAATGGCCAGATGATTATGATCTTTGAACGCATAATCATCTGGCCACTCAGTGTGTGTGTGTGTGTGTGTGTGTGTGTGGGGGTGTGTGTGTGTGTGTGGGTGTGTGTGTGTGTATGTGTGTGTGTGTATGTATGAAGCCTGGTGCATGTATTCATGCATGGGTGGGGTCCAGTTGGCTGACCTGCCTGCTGGTCAAACTCCTGATGGAGGGGGCAATTTGCATATTAGCCTTTTATTATATGGGATATACACTGACTGAGTGGCCAGATTAGCACCACAGGGGCACTAGGGGGCGGGGTGGGGATAAAGAACCTGAATGTGTGAGCATTTCACAATACAAGACAGGCACAGGGTAACATGCATGGGAACAGGAACAAAGACCCACAAATGATCAGGAACAAAGACCCACAAATCTCTGGGAGACATAATTGTCCTCGAGGCAAAGAGAAAGAGTCCACCCTGGCAAAAGCCTCTGGGGGAGGCCTGGTGGGAAGTCAGGAGCAGTGGGCCTGGGAGGGCAGGCTGAGGGAACCGAGGGCCCCCCCTGGGGCCAGGGCTCAGGCAGCCTGGGCTGGAGAGGGCTGACATCATCGTACTGAAGTCCTGGTTGTCACAAGTTCGTTCCTCCCCCCATCTTCCAACTTGGCTCTTAAGATAAAGAAACACTGAGACCGGACAGGCCTTTTTTGGAGTCCAGGCAGTCACTCAGTCCTCACTTTGCCTTCCAACATATGTTTTTAAATGCTCCTCAAGTCAAAAATTCACACAACAATCTTTCAGTTGGACAGTTTGGTCTTCCTCATGCCACCCGGCAAAGCTGCCAGGATTTCTGGGTTTTAACTCCATAGCTTTGCTCATCGAGCGGCCACCTCCCATTGCTGCTTTGCCCTGAACTCAGAGAAATGCCCTGGGTGCGTTGACTGCCCTTGACTTTGGCAGGAGAGTGACCAGCCACTCCACTGGGCGGCTGCTGGTGGCCCTTCTTCTTGGGACGTCATTCCTGTGACTGTCCTGGTCCAGGGACGGCTTCACGGCAACCACCCCGCCCCTATGCTGACTTTCCTGACACCCACAAAGCAGCACATGTGAAACGCAACAAAACTTAAAGCTCAGGGTCTTTCCAATAGAGCGGCTTCCAACCCGGGGTCGGAGGCCATGAGTAACGGCCTGTTTCTATACGTGCAGCCCTCAGCCAACATGAACAGCGCAGTGTGACTCCCCTAAACACTCTCAGACACAGCACACCCCTCATTCTGACTCACAGGCATTTCTCTCTGCCTTCCCATCAGCGTGGCCCTCAGCGCCGCTCAGGGCTGTAATGAGAACACACTTTGTGAGCCCAGCACCCACCGCCAATGAACAGGATGGACAGTGAGCTTGGCATCTAGTCTTCCTCTGGGTGACGCCTGGAGTAAAAACTATTTACTCAAAACAGAGCCAGGTCTCCGCCCCTCCATTCCAGAGTCCTCCTCATTTTATCTGCTTATCTCCATTGAGCAAAACAGTGCAGAGGAAAATGCACCGCCCTCTTGGCCTGAAGGCCGTGACGGAAGTCCCAAGGTCATGACTTGCTGGCCCTGTCAGACTGTCCTCCCCGCCCTCAGTGTTCTCATCTGTAAAATGGGAGTAACTTATCACTGTGAGGCTGGGCAGAGAGAGGAGACATAGGCACGCTGAGTGCTGAGGAGCCTCTACAGCCTGCGCTGTCTCCGTTCCCGTGGGCAGGATGATGAGGACGAAGGTGACTACGAGAGTCCCAATGACCATGACACAGAGGATGATGGTGACTATGAGTCCCCCAATGAGGAGGACCAGGCACCTGTGGAAGACGATGCCGACTATGAGCCGCCTCCCTCCAATGATGAGGAAGCCCTGCAGAACTCCATCCTGCCTGCCAAGCCCTTCTCCAACTCCAACTCCATGTACATCGGTAAGGGCCCTGCAGTCCACCCCGGCCCCAGCCCCCAGCCCCTGGGCCCCGGCCCCCACTGGGCGCCCACGCGGCTTTGGGCAAGTGGCTCCACCTCTCTAGGCCTCAGTTTCCTCAGCTGTGAGACAGGATAGTAACAATACATCCACGTAGGTTTGCTGTGGGAACTGTTCATATTGCAGAGCCATCATTGCCTATGATGGCTGACACCGGCATTGAACTGCCACTTGAGGGCACATGGCAGGAATAATTCGCTGTGTCCTGTTTCTCCATATTTTTTTTTACTAAGTCATAGTTATGTGACACAGCTACCCACAGGCTGTCAGAATTAACATAACCATATTGAGTGGGGTTTGAGCAACACTTCACATTTTAAAGATTTTCACTATCTATTTCTGTCAGCCTATTTCTTATTCATTCATTCATGCATTCATTCAATAAAAATCACTGACCTCCTACTATGATCCAGACACCATTCTATTATAAATGCTGAACGTTGGCATTATCAGGGAAGAAGACATAGCCCTTGCCTCGCAGGGATATGTTGGAGGAGAGATAATGACAGAAAATAAGCATGTAGGACAGAATCTCAAGGAGTAACCCAGAAAGTTGATGGTCAGTATCACAAAAAATTAATACCACCAATTCTTTAGCTATATCACACTTGGCAATTTTAAAGCCCTTTCATAAACTTGATGTCAATATTTTACTTTGTCTTTTTAAGCATTCTATGTGATAAGAGCAACAATTATCAACCTTCTTATTATATATAGGGAAACAGGCCCAGTGAAGAAACAGATAACTAATTTGTTGAGTACCTCGTATGCGTCAGTTATGAAGATACAGAGTGAACAAGACAGTCCTCACCCTAAAGAATTCATAGTCCAGTGGCTGAGGCAACATCGAATGAATGAAATCACAAAATGGTTTAATTAAAACATGATATATACTCAGAAGACAAGTGTGGGAGATGAGGTTGGCGTATATGCCTTTGATTCCCTGGGGATGCGATAGTTAAGCTGAAAGTTAAAGGATGAGTAGGAGTGAGGCTAAGTGAGGGTAGTTGTGGGAAAGGAAGAGCATGCTAAGCAGTAGAAATGGCTGTGCAAAGGTCCTGGGGTTAGTAGGAGCGTGGCCTCTCAGAGGAGCTGAGAGATGGCTGGTGTGGGTGGAGTGACATGAGCTCGGACCTGGCTTGCCTACGTTCTAAGCCCCATTCTCCATGGACAGGCAATGCTTCTCAAGGGCAGGGGCGAGTGTGAGACAAGAGAGGCACCCAGAGCCCAAAGTGTAAGGAGGCCGGCACTGGCAGTCCGGGCCTGGCCTTTCCCTGTTGAAGGGGTGGGGCTGATGTCAGCCTGCACGCCTGGCTCAGGGAGACTTCTGTAGTGACCAGAAAGATGCGAGCTGCTCTCCTGGGCAAGTCCAGACCAGTTAAGAATCTGTGATTGGGTAACAGGCACTGAAGACCAGCTCCTCCCTTTAAGGGAAGAGATAAGCCAAAGAGGAAGTAGGAGGGGGCAGAAGAGCCCAGAGCATTTGTGAGGGTGAGGAAGGGAACCCATAGGATCTCCATGAGCTGTGAGTGCCCATTTCACCCTGCCCAGGCAGCGGGGCGTGCCTCTGTGTGTGCTAGTATGTGTGTCAGATTCTCCACCCTGGAAACCCTGGGATGGACACATCCCTGCCATGGCCTGCGCTGGCAGAAGTGTGTGGGACCTCGGGCTCCTGGAGCCCCGAGATGCACAGAACTGGGTGCAGGATCTGTTTCTGGGAACCCCTGAGCATGGCCCACCCTCGCCTTGCTTTAGCATTTCTCCTTTCATTTCACTGTGCTTGTGTTTCCCAGACCGGCCCCTCTCCGGGAAGTCCCCACAGCAGCCGCCCGTGCCGCCGCAGAGACCGATGGCTGCCCTCCCTCCCCCACCAGCAGGCCGGAGCCACCCGGTAGGCCTCCTCACTCTTATCTGGCCCTCTCTGTCCCTTCCAAAGATCTCCTCTGCCAGAGAGAACAGAAGTCGATAAACATCTTCATCTACTCCCCACCAGTAAGACAGGATTATATGTAGGCTGGGGAAATGCATACTCACGGACTCACAGGGTTGTGTATATGTGTGTGTGTGTTTTTGGGTGGAGTGAAATACTAGTGATTTTTATCTTATTGCTTATTGTTATAATGCTTATTGGTATTTTATTTTTTATCATAAACAATTTAAACTAATTGTATAACCAAAAGGTCTCTCACTTTTGAAGTAAGTGAAAACTGTAAAATATACTCTAAGTCAATGACACCTACTGGTATTCCAAGAGTCCCAGGTCCCCTTCTCTCTCCTGCAAAAAAGATGTGCGCCACCTGCTGGCCAATGCCAGAAATTCCACGGGCAAAGGCCTGGAAACTAAGGTTTATGAGCAGTAAACCAGATGGAAAGAAAGACAGCAACTCCCTTTCCTCTTTCTCCAAACTTACAGTCTCAGGTCCTGGGGGCCTTTCTGAGTCCCAGAGGGACCCCGAGAAGAGAGACCCCGAGAAGTTCAGGATAATGAGTCAATATCAAGAAATGTGTTCTCTGCATGAGGGATCTCAGCACTCTAACAGCTATGGCAAGTGCCAAAGTGTGAGGGTTAGAGGGAGGGAGAGGACATATTGGCCCCAAAGTTCAAAATCAAGCGCACACCGCAGTCAGGACCTCCCTCCTGAAGGTTGGCTCCCTCCTGCTTGTGCAGTTTCCTTGCGAAGGGGGCTCACAGACCGCAATTCACTTTACTTTTGAAATCTGAAGGCTGTGAACTCTGCTGTCGGGATGCAGAATTCCCTCATTCAATCAACAGCTATTTACTGAGCTGCTACTGTGTGCCCAGCAGCGTTCTAGCTGCTGGGAAGAGAGTGAGCATGAATAAGACAAATGAAGTCCCTGCTTTCATGAAGTTTTGATTTGGTCAGGGGGTACAAATAATAAAAAAGTAAGTAGATGCATAAACAAGACAATGGGAGCAGTAATTTGAGGTTAGGGAGACAGAAGACCCAGGAATGGGGTGATGGGTAGAGGTAACATTTGAGCGGGATCCACTAGGAGGCTTATCAGGGAGCAGCTTACTCACTCCGTTGCCATGCAGGAGTCGCTTTGGGGGAGACAGGGCAGAACAGGGGGGCTCCCATGGCAGGCTACTGTCCAGTCAGGGATTAGAGATTAAGATTGAGGGTGGAATATAGAAATGGGGAGAAGTGAACAAATTCAGACATATTTGGGGAGATAAAGCCAGCAGGAACTGCTAATGTGTTGCAAATACTTCCTAACATTTGTGTTTTTGTTTTTTCCAAACAGCCACTCCCCACACCCCAGCCCAACCACGAAGAGCCTAGCAGAAGTAGAACCCCCAAACCAGCAAAGAGTGAGTGCTGCTCTCTCTGGCCCACCATGCCCCACCCCCAGCCAACCATTCTCCTTGTAATTGTTTTCCTTCTTTTCCCTTCCAGTCCCGCCTCCTTCCATAGACAGAAGCACCAAGCCTACCCTCGATCGCTCGTTAGCTCCGTTTGACAGAGAGCCCCTCACATTAGGTCGGTATCATTCGTTCTGGATGCATAATAACGATGGGAAGCCTTTAGAGAGTGCTTATTGCACGCTTTTCACACACACCAACTCACTTAACTAACACCACGACACTACGAAGTGGGGGCTACTAGAACATCCTCATTTTACAGATGAGGAAACCGAGGCACAAAGAGGTAACTTCCCAAGATCGCTCAGCTACCAGGGGGAGACCCAAACCCAGATCAGCCTGAAGCCGTGCTCCTGCCCTTTGCCCTGTGCTGGGCCTGCTTCTCCCCGGGGCCTTCTGTGTACACTCATCTCACTGTCCTCTGAAGGCGGTGCAGGGGGCACTGGGGTTTATAGGGGGAACTGGGCTGAGAGGCTTATCATCAGCCATCTTGGTGGCTCCCTATTCAGCAGCTCCCTAACCTTTCCACAGCTACCTCCTTATTTGTAAGGTGTGTGTTCTATTCAGAGAAGGTGCTTTATAAAACTCTAACATGTTAGTCAAATGGCAGGGCTACTTTTGTTGTTGTTTGTGTGCAGTTGACCAAACTGAGGGTAGTTTTCCATCCAAACTGACCCAGGGTGGTCTTGGACTGCAGCTACCTCCACATGAAGCTATTTTCAACTCAATTCTAAAACGTAGCTACCATTTACTGAGCACCTACTATGGGCCCAGTGCTTTACCTGCTATAGTATTTCACCTACATTATCTCTACTCTCAAATTAACCCAACAAAGGGGGTAAATTATTTCCCCCTGTCCATGCAGATGATGAAACAGGCTTGGAGAGGTTGAACAGCATCCTTAAATGTGATTAACTGGGTACAGGATTTGAACCCACGTCTTTCCAATTTCAAAGTAATGCTCTCTTCCACCACCTCCTCCTGTCATTGAAGATGCTGGCTTTTCCTCCTGTGGACCAGAGAGTCCTGGGCAAGGACTGAGCCCCAGGCTGGGAGGGTTAAGGAGGCTGGAGGCCAGGCCCCACCGGGCCCTTCCTCCCTTCCTTCGCTGCACTCTGAGCAAGGCATTCGCCTTCTCCACACTTCCTGGCCTTGAGACTGCTGCTTGCTGCTGCTTTTCTTAAAGGGCCCCTGGCTCTGCTGGCTCATGCAGGACAGGGTGCTGTCCCAAAGCTTTGCAGAGTGGGACACTGCCATCAGGTCTCAGTCACCTCCGAGCTAACCTGGCCTTTAAAAAGATTTCCTTTTCCTCTTGGCAGTGACCTTGTCTTGACAATGCCAGCTTTGCCCTTGGAGTGACTCACTTGTCCATGATGTTTTGGGAGAACTAACCTCTTACAAAGCTCAGACTCTTCACAAGAGATACCCAACATGCCCAGAGAATACGCATAAATAAGGGATTTTTTTTTTAAAAGAGAAAATCTATTCAGTCCTAAATATAGAAGTTTTCTAGTTATCCCTCTAAAGTAGAGTTTTCACCTCCAAAAAGTTTTATGAATGACAAACTTATTTTTATACCACCGAAACGCTCCCCTACTAGGCAGGGAGTCCTTCCCAGTCAGACAAGATCCTTAGCCCTACTGTGGGCCTGGCTGTCCTCAGCATCTAGAAATAAATCCTGTAAAAACACAACTCCAGGTGGATTATTTCACCGTCGACCTCACAGTGGTCGCTGCGCAGGACGATGGGAGGGAGGGAGGAAGCTCAGCTGACAGGGACCAAGTGCCTGACCCCGCATAGAGTGTCACCTGACCCCTAGCAAACCTGTGTGCTTTCACCCACAAGCCCATTTCCCAGGTGAGGAAATTGAGACGCAAAGACCTTAAAGAATTTGCTCAAGGTCATGCCGCATTTACCTCTAGACCTGCTTGAATCCAGTTGAGTAATTGTTGTATTACATTGAAGACATAGGGCACTTCAGACAGAATAAAGAAGAAATTGCTGTGAATAACTTTGCAATGCAGAGTTCTCACTTCCTCAGGGAGCCTGCGGGTTATCTGCTCCATGAGAAAAGTGAAAGAAAAAGAAAGGAAGAAAGAGGAAAAGAAAGGAAGAAAGGCCAGCCAACCAAAACCAAAACCCAAACCCAAACCAAATGATTTGCAGCCCACCAAGAGAATCGTCAGAAACCCTCTTCCTCAAGTTTAAAAATCTTCTCAGAAATGAGAAATATAATTAATATTTCATATAATGTCAATGGTACCAAAGGGGTAGAGGAAAATTAACCCCTTCAGGGAAAATGGGTTTATATCAGATACAAATATAACCTTAGGCTTTATCCCAAGAACCTCTTGACCAATGAGAGGGCTAAAACCCCAAAGACATTCGATCCTTTCATCACCTGTTACCTAAGATAAACTGGACGAGAAGCACAGAACCCAGGATACTGTTTGTATGTCCGCAATGCTGTGTGACCCTGGGCAAGTCACTTAATTTCTCTGAGCCTGTAAAATCAGGTCTAAGGTCTATGGTTCTTCACAGCTCGAACCCAAGCAGCTCCTCCCCTCCCCTGCCCTGTCACCCACCCCACCCCTGTCATGGGACTCAGTTCAATTTCATCAAACTATATTTCAATGCCTGATGCTTAGTTGGTAAAGGCCAAAACTCAAGGCCCGTCTGCTCTTTGTCATTTACAGGAAAGAAACCAGTGCTTTCTGACAAGGTGAGCTGTTTTCCTGTTTGGTTGTATTTGTTCTTGTTTTTATCGCATCTTGTATCTTGTCTTTATTCTTTGAAAAATGCTGAGGCCACTCACGCATCTCCCCTCCTGTCTTGCAGCCCCCGACCCCAGCAGGAAGGTGAGTGCCCTGTGGTGTCTGCGGGAGAAAATCGGTCTCCCTGGGGACTCTGGTTTGGGTCTCACACATCCTTTCTCTCAACTCTGCAGGCCTCTCGGGGACCATTTACCCAAGATTCCAAAGCCTCCTTTACCACCGACCACGGAGAGACACGACAGGAGTAGCCCCCTGCCTGGGAAGAAGCCACCGGTGCCCAAGTAAGTGTCCTCTGTTGCTTGAGCTTGTCATTCTCTGCGGATGCCCCGCCCCCTGCCTAGTGGTAGCTTTACTGGGACCTGCATCCTGTTGGCCGCTGTGGCTGAGGGAGTGCTAGGGCTGCTTAGGCTGGATGCAAGGTCCTGGGTCCCTTTGAAGAAAATGGCAATGCAGCCAAGAAAGGGGTGGAGAGATGCTTCATCGGGGGTGTGGGGGTGACAGCTGTTTATGGGACCTTGTCCTCAACCGGTCACATGTGTGGCTACATTTTGCTGCCGCCACTGGGCATGGGAATGGACCCGCCTGGTGTTGCAGTTTTCTGTACAAACAGCAGGAAGAGATAATGCAGGGGGCGGGGAAGGGGGTGTCAGCCACTGAAAGTGTCTTCCTCATTTTATAACAGCAGAATCCTGAGTTCTGCTCTCACGTTGCTCACTTTGCTAGAAAGTTCTGGGGGCCTATTTACCAAAGGGTCAGGCCCAACCTCACTACTTAACTAAGGACAAAGCCTAGGCTTCCGTTTATCTGAATAACAGTTGTAACTCTGACCCTGGCTCGGCCAGCGTGAGGCTTCAATCTGACCCAGGGATGGGGGACACCCCCAAACCTCAGGGATCGAGTTAACATTTTCATGGGATATTTTAAAAGATCAAGATGAATGGAAAGAAATATCATAATGAACAAAATATCGGAATTTTAAACACTCACAAGGAGACGTGGCAGGTGAAGCTTCCAGCCCTCATATTGAACACCTACTATGTGCAATGCCTCCCCCCGCGTCCCTCTGGAGGGAGAGCGGATGCGGATGGGGATGTGGGCCCAGGCTCACAGCTGCCTGTCACAGCTCCACCACAGCTGCCACCAAGCCTGCTGGGCTGGCTGTGCGTCTGGGCAAAGCCCCAGAGCAGCAGTGTTTTTCAACTGCCTTTCTTTCCCCGAAGGGCGGGCCTAGGGTGGCCTTTTACCAGCATCAGCGAAGGGGAAATTGAGCTCCGATGGCTCTCATTTGCTTGGTAAAACATCTATTCAATGAGATTTAATAGCTACTAAAGAGTTAGTTTGCTGGCTAGACCCTTCTTTCACTTGTAATTATTTGCTGCAGGGGCTGAACAGAATACAGGCTCAGCTGGCAGCATGACAGAGCTCAGTCACCAGACTCCCCCCACGGCCTCTCCTGGCTTTTCTGCTGCGTGTTGGGATTTTTTTGTTTCCTATTTTGTCACGGCTTGATTTCTCATTATTACATCAAGTGAAACGATCTGTATTCTGAGGCCGGGTCTTTGAAACTTCAGGCTCACTTCTCTTTCTTTGCCCCAATTCATTTCAGGCATTCCCGGGTACCAGACCGGAGAGAGAATGTAAGTACTCAATGCCATTCGGTGAATGCCTGGCACAGGGGAAGCTGGTGCGGGCTCCGCGGAGGTGGGGGGTCCCTCTGTCCCTGCCTTCCTTAGAGCCCAGCCCAGAGACGAGCCTACACACGGTGGGCTCCAGAGTCCTGTGCCTATTGGGGCCTCCATCTGCCCCGCCTGCCGGCCTCCACCAGGTGCACTGCAGTAGCTCAGGCCCCTCTGAGGGCTGCCGGGGTGGCTGGGTGATTACCAGCCCCAACCCTGGGGGCAAATAGCAGGTGAAGGGCAGTACGTGGAAGGGGGAATGAAGGGAGGGATGGCCGAGAGGCTGGGCCTTGCAGCAGAGTTTCTAAATCCTCTCTTTTGCCTTTAATGCCTGCACAACCTGCAAAGGAGGGGAGACAGCATTTCCTGAATGCCTACTGTGTGCATGTTAGCAAGCTAGCTACATTTGGTGGACCAGCTGGGTGCCTGGGACTTGCCCAGTTTTAGCAATGAAAGTCTCACGGCTCAGGCAAGGCAGGAAAATTGGTCACCTGGTTTAACACATGCTTTGCATTTATGGACCCCATTAGCAATCATGGTTTCTCTTATAAGAGCAAACTGAAGCTCAGAGAGGGTGACACACTCATTGCACGTAGTACAGTGAGTAAGGAGGCAGCTTCTGAGTCCTGTGGTCTATAAACTTTCTGCAGGCTATCACACACCTGCCCCTAGTCAGAACAGTGCCTGCTGTTCTGAAGCTCTGTGCTAGATGGCGTGCTTGTTCGGATGAAGTGGTAAGACGTGATGGAGGCAGGCAAACCCACAGTTAACATGCTAAACAGTGTAGGATTATGGGATGAGCTGCAGAGGTGAAGGGGAGAAAGTGACTCATGGGAGTCAAGGAGTCAGTGGTCACTTTCTCCCCTTCACTGAACTCTTAGAGGTGACATTTGTGATGGCCATTGAATGCTGGGGAGGGCCCAGGATAAAGTCACCCTAAGAGAAATGGGTTTGCAGCCCAGCCTCAGAACGTCCCGAGCAAAGGCAGGTGGGTGGCAGTGTCCATGGAGCCCAGGAGCCAGAGGGATAAGCAGAGGGAAGGTGAAAAGTGAGGGTAACATCTCATTCCTGAGGTTCACAGTCTCTGGTCACGAGAACCTGGGACTGGATCTGGTTGCAGACATGCTGAAGAGAGCTTTCACTGTGGGGACTTGCTAAGCCCATGTGTGTTAGCTCTGCAGCCCCGTGTTGGGGCTCCCAGTTGGCCATGTGGGATGAGTGATTCTGGCTATGATCCTTCTTGCCTCATCTCGGTGGTAGACTAGTGAAGCTAACGTTTACTGAGCACTCCATATCTACCGAGGCACAAGTAATAACTAATGTAATGCTCACAACACTTTCAAACAAAACAAGTCCAAGTTGCCAGTTTCGGTCTAGTCGGTGGCAACATGGCTGTTGACTCTCCTGTCATTTTTCATCTGAGGAGGAGAGCACTCGCCTCCCCCTTGCTCCTTTCACAAGGCTGCCTGGCAGACCAGTGTGCTGAGTGATGGGGACGCACCAGCTAAGCCGCATCATAAATAAGTGGCAGCTGCAGAGCCCAAAAGAAGGCTGAGCTTTGGGTTAGACCAGTGGTCGGCAAACTGCAGCTCTCAAGCCCCAGGTGGCTCTTTGGCCCCTTGAGTGTGGCTCTTCCACAAAATACCGCGGCCTGGGCGAGTCTATTTTGAAGAAGTGGCATTAGAAGAGGTTTAAGTTTAAAAAAATTTGACTCTCAAAAGGAATTTCAATCATTGTCCTGTTGATATTTGGCTCTGTGGACTAATGAGTTTGCCCACCACTGGGTTAGACACATGCAGAGTTGAATCCAGTTCTGTCACAATTCCTTGGCAAGTTAGGAGGCCCGCCGGAGCGGCTGGTTTCCATTGTAAACGGGAATGTTAAATCCTTGATGGGTCGCTGAGGAAGTTGGATGAAAGATCACATATGAATCACTGGGGACAGGTAGTCATTACTGTGTCTTTGGGCCCTTTGAGGCACCTCAGCGCCTACTTGATGGTAAGTGTATAGTGAGAGACTCCAGGTGGAGTGTCCTTCAATGCCAGTTTTTTATTAAGGAATCATAAACCACTTAACTGGCTCTGCTCCCTACTATATATTCATTACAGAGTCGCACACTGCGAAAGTGAAATAGAGCCATTTATGTGATCGAGGAATCGCCTTGATGATAGACTAATATATGTTTTTTCCTTCCCTTCACCAGGATGAAGATGATGGTATGTTCATCTTACAACTTATAACTCATCTCTTCATTTCTCCGCTCAGGCATTCAAACAAAATTATTTAGTCCAGAAACACCATCAAGTCCATTACATTTGTTAAATTAGTATTAAATGGACATATATCATGTGGCGCACTGCATGGCTATAATAAAATGGAATTGTTTGGCTGGATTACTGAAGAGAACTATTCAGTTCATGCGTATCAGTGCAAATTACTTAACGGTACAGCACGTGAAAAATGGCATGTATGGTTTGACGGAAACATCTCAATTGTGCCCTCACATGCGTATGGATAAAGGACCACCACCTGCAGAAGGATGAGACAGCAGGAAATCTGGCTTTCATAAAACAAAACAAAACTTGGGAATCATTTCTAAAATGCATATGGTTCCTGAATGATAATTTTCTACCAACTTAGCATTTCAGAAAAGAAAGAAAAGGAAAATGTGTATTACAGAGGATAATACAGAATGGCAGCATTTTAAAATGCATGCCAAGGTGAAAAGGCTCTAGAAAGTCATTGGAAGGTGGGGTCCCATCCTACCAACCACTTCCCAATTGCATTTCATCTTCCTTGGGTTTTTGTATCTCTCTTTGGACTAGTTGTTTCTAATGGGGGAGCAGTTCTGGAATGTTCTATGACATTTGGATCCTGATAATCAGCTTGACTTTTTTCTCCTTTCCCACAGTGCATCAGAGACCTCTGCCCCAGCCAACTCTGCTCCCCATGAGCTCCAACACGTTCCCTTCAAGATCCAACAAGCCATCGCCCAAGCCCTCCCTCCCATCGGGACACGCGTTCGGAGCATTCTCAGAGAGGTTTGTGTAATGTCTTTACGATCTAACTTAATCCCTAGGTCCCCTGAGACCGAGCTAATGGAAGGCAAGTTGAATGAGCCAGTGTACAGTAGGGTCAGAACATTTTGGGTCTTAAAAACCAAACCCAAGCTGATCACAAAAAGCCACACATCTTAACCCACTGTGTCCTCTGAGTCTGTGCTCAGGGTCAGAGAGGTACAGAACAGAATGCCTGATGTTCACCCCAGAGATCAGACTCTTTGGCAGGAAATGGGGAATATTTTCACTTTGTGAGGTAAAACAAACACATGACCACTCAAGAAGCCCAGTTATTGGAGCTCACCCTGCACCTTGAACGGGAGATGGAGAAAGCCTACCGTGAACTTGGCAGGTGCGGAGAGTTCACTGTGCAGGCTCCTCCCCCAGGTCCCATCTCTCAATAGCAGTGGGGCAGCTCAGGGCCCACAAGGAGGCCGGCCACAGGCATGAGCAGGAAAAAGCCTCGGGTCGTTTCTCCCTCAGCAAGCCCAGCAGATGCCTCTTGGTGTCCCCCAAGACCTCCGGCCCTTGGGGCTCACTCCCTCCTTTAATATCCAAAGGGAGAGGCCCAGTCCCCCTCTAAATACGGGAGAAAACTCAACCATCAGCCTGCCCCCTTTCCTCCCGCCAAATATCTGGAAAGATTCTCACTTCTTTTAATCTTCCTTGGGTGCCTCTTGCTCTGATTTGCTGCTGCTTCTCCCCCTCCCAGCTGAGCTTCTTCCTCTGCCACGCCTGCCATTTCCTACACTGTCCACCCCACACGGACCCCTGCCCTCGCCTCCATTCTTACAAAACACCACTCCCAGGAGCTTGCTAAGCAGAGCAGACCTGGACAGGTTTGGGCTAATGGGTGGGGGCATGTCCATGCAGCGTGGACAGATGGCATTTAGGGTCCCCAGAATCCCCTTCTGTCTGCTGCAGTGCTGCCTGGTCTCTGTTCCTCACCTGCTCACTCTCTCATTGTCCACTGTTAGGCCCTGGGGGTCCCCTGCTCCCCAACTCCAAGCCCATTTCTGTATTTCCCTAACCATGACAGGCCGTCTCCCCCAGGACTCTGCCATTCCCCAAACTCAAAAGCCCCAAACTGCAGCCACTTGTAAATACGGTGTCCCTTGTAAATGCGCTTACTCACAGTTTCCTTGGTTTTGTTTGGCGGCTGGTGAAGCATGCTAGACTTTGGACGCTGGTGAGATGCGTGTGCCCCGGTCCTTCTCGGGCCCACTCCCATGGTTTCAGGGCTGGGTGGGAAAGTGATCACAAAGGAAGGAGGTCACAGGCCTGTCTCCCTCAGGCAGCCTTCCTCTGGCCCCTCCTCCCCCAGCTGAGTGTGTTCTTCTCTCCAGCAGCAGCTTCCCGCAGAGCCAGAGCGCCTCCCTGCCGCCCTACTTCTCCCAAGGTGAGTGGTCCGGGCCCCCGGGGCCTACTCCAGGCAGCATGCCCTCAGGACAGGGTCACTGAGAGCCTCTGGGTTCTGTTGGTTCCTAAAGGCACCAGATTTCCTCATTCAGCACTTAAATTGGTGTCTGCAGTGATCTAGGCTTCGGGAAGCAAACACCTCCTTCCAAGGCGGTCTTGACCTTTGACCTTCCCAAACTGACCTCCCGGGCCTGCTGTTTTAATCCCGGGCTCAGCTAGTACTTGGCTTTCTCTGGAGTTTGTTTCCACAATGACTGTACACTTGACTTATAAATTGAGAAACATGTTTAAAACACAGATTAAGAGAACCCAACGCCCAAATTCCAATTCAGTAAGTCTGGAGGAAGCTGTGCCCTTTTTTAAAAAAATGCATTTTTATTGATTCAGAGAGAAAGGGAGAGGGAGAGAGAGATAGAAACATCAATGATGAGAATCACTTATCGGCTGCCTTCTGCATGCCTCCTACTGCAACTGGGCATGTGCCCTTGACTGGACTCGAACCCAGAATCCTTTGATCTGCAGGCTGACGGGCTAGCCACTGAGCCAAACCAGCTAGGCGAGGCTATGCCTTTTAAGTAATATCTCCTCCAGGTGTTCAAAGAGAGTGAGCAGCAGGGAGCAAACTCTGGTTCTAAAAGCTAATGATATTCTCAAGGTAATTTCACCTTGTCTTGGGCATCTGACATTTCTCTTTGTGAACATGTGAGAATGTAACTATTGTCAGTCCTGCCTTGTCACCAAATGGTGGTGGGGAATCCAGTCTGGGCAGTGAGGGCCTGGAGTCTATGAACGACTTGCCTCTTGAATATTCTTTCTGGTGATCACATTGGGATGCCTGTGACTTTTCCCCCAGTAGAGCTAGTCACTTCATGTTATGTAACACACATTTAAGAAGTCACAAGAATCGTGGTACTATGAAATTCCAGTGCCCTGGCTGCAGAGCAATGCCAGCAGCCCTGGTGGTTTTGAGCAGGTGGAAACTGTTGTTGAAGTAGGCTTCCTGAAATGTTAGTTGCTGGAAGCAACTGCAAGAACATTTTGGGAAAGGAGTGTTAGGACAGAGTGAACCAGGGTTTGCAGTAAGTTAACTCCCAAATGCTGTGCCTTTGAAGGTCCTGGCAACAGACTGCCGCTCCGGTCGGAAGGCAGGAACTTTTCCTTGCCGGTTCCAACCAAACCCCGGCCACCGTCCCCGGGGGAAGAACAGGTAAAGACACACATATGTTTTCATTTCATTTTCCTCCGAGCCATGCCACGGCTGGGCATGGCCTTAATTTGTTTTGAAGTGAAAATAATTAAAAGGGAGGATCCAGGTGAAAATATATATTTTCTTTCCTTGGTGTTCTTAAAGACTTTTCCAATGGCAAATGTGTTTTGCATTTAACAAGAAGTACCATAATCCTCTTTTTCATCTGTTTTCTAGTTTATGACCTTGAATAAGTCCCTTAAATGCTTGTTAATTCAGTTTTTTCATTAAGTCTATTATTCTGTTAAACTGAAGAAATTATTACACCTATATTTTTCCTGATTAGAGATTCCATTATATAAGGAATGCTTATTTGCAGATACTTTTGAAACCAGCGTCATGATAAAAAGCAGTTTGCAGGAAATACCTTCTATTTAGCTTTACCTGAGTGATTCTATATTAAATTGAGAAAACAAACGTTTCAAACCTCATGGAATGGAGGTGGAGATTTATAATATAAAAATTATTACTTGGAGGCCTTTCTTTGTACTTACTTATGTAACTGCACACTTTATTCTGTATTTTTAAAAATTACATTTTCAGAATTCATTAAGTGAAGAGTGGTACGTTTCTTATATTACCCGACCGGAGGCAGAAGCTGCTCTTAGAAGGATAAACCAGGTACTGTGCTGAAGTTTATTTTTAAGTATAAATATTAATGGCAGGAGAGGAAGGGGACTAGCGTTTACCGAGTACCACTTCCGGGATAGGGATTCTGCTAGGCCCAAGCTGTTACATCGAAGAACCTGCTAGTGCTGACTTCCCACTCCCCAGCAGCGTCCCAATGATCCTGGGGCCCCGGGAAAAATCTCCAGGAAGGTCGCACTGGGCTGGCAGAATCGCAAGATTTTATCCTCAAAAAGGCCCAACTTATCTAGGAATCATACAGTGTCCAAAGAAGACTCTCCCCCAAAGTTCCAGCATATTACTGGTTCAGGCTCACTCTTCAGACTCCGTGGCCATTCACAGGGATGGGAAGTGTCCAGCTGCTCTTTAATGTTGTCGGGTCTTAACCAAATGTCTTGTTTTCCGGTGCTGAACTTAACCTTAAATCTACACGAATCAGAGAGGCGAAAGTGAAGACCCTGCATCTTTCACCTCTCGAATCCACAATAAGGGTTCTCAGCCCTCACTGCAGCTGCAGATCGCCTGGGGGAGCATTTTAAAATCCTGATTCCTGGGTCTCACCTGGAGAGGTTCTGACTGAATTAGTCAGGGGCGCTGTGTGTGCCCGAGGGTCTTTAAAACTCTCCAGGGGATTCGAAAGTGAACTCAAGCCTCTAAATCACTGGTCCATGGCTATATTTTTTCAACGGAGATGTTTTGACGGAAATTCACTTATTAACTTGGAATGAAAAGCACGAGGGAAAGCCATTAATGCAGACGGATGGCTCTATAAAGCCATCCTGATTCAGTACACGAAGAGAAAGTAGCTTAAGTGCCTTCTTACTGATTAATTCTAATTACTATCATTATCTTTACAGTATTCATATTAGCAATAATTTATGGAATAAAAATTTAAAGTACAGGACGAATCCCAACACTGTTTTAGGAAATATCAGGGAAAAAATATAAGCACAGTGGGGAGGGACCAGGCCTGCCAGGGAGAGCGGTTGGGGGCGATCATGCAATTTTGTTCAGGGACCAAACACTCCCCCTGAAGGTTAGGAGGTTTAAAACAGTGCGTGAATTTCCAGGCCTTTGGGTGTTTTTTTCTGACTTTGGCTGAGGGAAGAAGGGCAAGAAAATTAGCTCCCAGTAGTCGGGAGCTGTATCCTTTGTTGCACAATCAAGACCTTATCTCACCTGGCCCTGGAGCCACTCACATGCCTACGTGTTTTATTCCTTTTATTCCCGAGAGGGCATTCCTTTCCATCAGAGACTGCAGAGGTTGACTTAGAGACTAAGGTGACCAGACGTCCCGCTTTTGGCAGGACAGTCACGATTTTTAACAATTTTGCGGCGACGTCTGGTCACCTTAACTTAGACCTTTCTCTGCTGTCCTTTCCCATAACCATTCCTGGGATTTAACAGTTTGGGACCTGAATGTTCACCGGCTTGGCTCGGCCCCCTGTTGACTTACTGTTCCCTTCCCCACACGCATGTTTCCTTTCAGGATGGCACTTTTCTGGTGAGAGACAGCTCCAAGAAAACAGCAAGCAACCCGTACGTCCTCATGGTGTTATACAAGGACAAGGTCTACAACGTCCAGATCCGCTACGTGGAGGAAAGCCAAGTTTACATGCTGGGCACTGGGCTCCGAGGGAAGGAGGTAAGGACCTCGGTTGCCAAATGTACCCCGATTCTCCTGTTCTGCCTCCCTGCACGCCTACCGAATGGAACTTCGCTGTAACTTTCTTTGCGGGTCCGTGCTGTACGGCAGCTTTAGTTAAATCGTGTTCATGAAGCCCTTCATTTACTGAAAGGAAATAAAACAAAACATTAACAGTAGCCACAGCTGTGCCACAGGAATCTTTCCTTTACATTTTATTCCAAATAATCTAAAGTCACACGTGCAACTCTTGAAATCAGAAAGTATATGTAAACATTTAAATTTTTCAAGAGAGAACCAGTTGTAATGGTGTCAAAGGCAAGTCCTTTCTCTGTCATCTTTGCCACCTAATTTCCATGTAGGATCTCAGGGTACTTATAAGGCTGTATTTTTAAATCAACAAATGGAAAAGGGAAAAAGATAATTTTTGTTGTGGTGATTATTTAGATAGTTGGTTCATTTCCTAGCTGGAGGTGTGGCCAATGAAGGTGGCCAAATTGCCAAAGACCTCTTCCTCTGTTCAGCCGAGGTTTATACCAGTCACTTTTTGGGTGGTAATCAGGTTATGAGGAAAGCCTTTCAGAGCTGCTTTTTGCGAAGGAAGCTAACAGCTAAATTTACTGCTCCCAGCATACTCTTTAAGTTCAAAGTTCCAGGAGGGAGGATCAGCCGAACCCAACATTCCCAGACTGAGAAACAGCCCGCCGTAACTTCCATTTCACTCCAAATATGTTCAAGTTACAATCATGTAAATGAGTAGGAAACCTCCCTCCACCCCACATGATTTTGGTCAAACATTTGAATCACAGCTGCCCCGAGGGAGGTGCCTAGGAGAGTGGTCTTAGAGGAAGTGCTTGGTCCTGTCGGGATACCTAGGTGACTTCTGACCCACCTAGAAGGATGGATGGGGTTTTCCCAGCCTGGCCATCTGGGGTAGGGTGATCCAGGCACTGAATGCAAAGCCTTGGCTACAGAGTTCTGGGAAGTGTGGGGTGGCAGTGGGCAGGCAGCAGAGAGGTCGTGAATGGACTATTGTGCCATGTTGCAGATGTCCCTCCAGATACCAGGGACAGTGGCTTCATGATTCCTACACTTCCTCACATATGATTGAGATATGGGACTCAGAAACCAAAATCAAAAACACCAAGAGAGGCAAAGGCATCATAATTAGACCCCTCTATATGTGATCCCCTGTATGAAGTTTAAAAAAATTAGTCATATATATACATATAAGTATATATACACTGAGTGGCCAGATTATTATGATCTCTGAACACAATAATCTGGTCACTCAGTATATGTATATGTGTGTATGTGTGTGTATATGTTAATGTGTGTGTGTATATATATATATATATATATATATATATATGAATGAAACCCAGTCCATGAATTCAAGCACGGAAGGAGTCTGGCCAGCTTGCCAAGGGGGAGGGGACATGGGCAGTTGGCCGGCCAGCAGGCCTGATGGTCGAACTCCTGGTTGAGGGGACAACTTGCATATTAGCTTTTAATTATATATAGCATATACACTGAGTGGCCAGATTATTATGTGTTCAGAGATCATAATAATCTGGCCACTCAGTGTATATATAATCTTTTATCATAGTATATTGGATGTTGGTGAGAAATCATTTTTTCAAAGTCCTACAGCAGAAATCGTTAAAACATTTGTCAAATTTTACATTAAAAAAAATAAAAATCCTCACTTCAAAAGGTAGGATATTATGCAGATTAAAAAACTGAGGGTGAAATTCATGCTACCTGCTCCAGGGTTGATTTATCTCCCTGTTTCCAATCTTTCAGGACTTTCTGTCTGTGTCAGATATTATCGACTACTTCCGGAAAATGCCGCTCCTGCTCATTGATGGGAAAAACCGAGGTTCCAGATACCAGTGCACATTAACCCATTCGGCGGGCAGCCTGTAGCACCTTAGCCAAGCAGGCGAATCTGCCCTGACTTCTGGACAAACACTTAGGACTGACTCGAACCCCTCAGCATGAACACGAGGGTTTGGTCCTTTCGCTTAACAAAGTGTTTGAAATGAAGACTGTCACGTGTCCTATAATTTATTTATTCTTCTTCAGTGTTTGTGAAGTGCATGAGTGATAATGTGCACACTGGCACTGTAGTCGTGCACTGTAATGATTTGTACAAATAATGTGCATTTTTTGATACCTGTTTCAAAGTAAGTACAGTAGTTTCCACAGCTACAAAAGTAACTTGGGGCAAGTTTCAAAACATTTAAACAATAATAGCTTTTGTTATCACATAAAACTGATTTTTTGATAGCCAAACCTTGTCAGTCAGTGACAACCATGAGTTTTTATATGTATACTAGTAATTTGAAAATTACTAAAATTAACTTTCTTAGCAGCAATAATTTAAAAGGCTTCAAAAATATTTCATCCTTTCTTATTTGGTGTTTTTTTTTGTTGGGGGGATTTTTGTATACTTTTTTATGAAAAGATAAATGCATGTTGGAATAACTTCCTGGGATTAAAATTAATTTGCCTTTTGCTTTACCTTTGGGTTCCTAAAACAACTTTATCGACTTTACTGTTTGGTCTGTACTATTATTATATTTTTGTTTTAACGCAAACTTAAGCTACAAATACAAAAAGAAAACATTTTAAATCAAATACATTTAGATTTAAGTATAAAGAAGCATGTATTGGGTCATGTGACTTGGAAGTAAATGGTAGGAATAGATGTCAAGGATTTGGTTGTAAATTTTACCAAAGTCTTCCTAGGAAGATAAAAAAGCAGTGAATATACACAGAAAAATTTCTGGCCAGATCAACTTTCTTCCACCTCTTCTCATCCCCCTGACAACTACCATAAAGACCTTTCCCCATCCTTCCCATAAGAACTTTATAAATTCTGCAAAGGAATGCAGCTCTTTCCTTGGCTAACATATCTCACTTAACAAGCAGTAGGCATTTTGCAAAACAAAAACCTGGCATTCAGTGGTTCTTCAAGTTTTGCCTTTTGGACCCTTGGTTATTCTTCCACAACTTGTACTAAGAAAAATTGTTTGTTTCTCGGCTTAATCTACACGTTTTCCGAGTGGCAAAGGATATCTTGCAACTTCATTTCATGAGCTAATAGAACATAGAAGGGATTAAGAGGGTCACCGGGTTAAAGCTGACACTTTGCTATGATGAGTGTGTGCATACTTTTAACCAATGATGATAAAAATGATGTTTCACAAAACATCGTCCTTCCAAGCCAAAGTTCTCAATTTAGGGACCAGAACAAGAGAGTTTTAAAGCTGAAAGACCTGCACTTATTTACATGTTTATTCAATAGGATATTCAACAAGCATTTATTCAGTGGCTGCTTTGTGTTAAATACTGAGCTTGGCACTGGGTAGTGAGTCTAGCAACCATTATAAGTTCTATTATGGAGTGAGCTGACTTTGTGTCTTGTTTCATAGTATTCTATCTATCCTTTATATTAAAAAACTAGAGTCCTGGTGCATGAATTCATGCATTGGTGGGGTGAGGTGGGAGGGCGATTGGGGGCAAGGCCGGCTGGGGGTAGTTATTAGTGTCAAAGACTTTTACAGGGTGTATTCACATTTGCTATTGGCTTTTGGATGAGTTGAAGCTTCAAAGGCATTTTAGTGTCAGGGACACTTACAGCTTTTGTTTCTAAGTCTCTCCCTAGACAGGTAATGTGGTTGTTTCCTGCTGACAAACCCTCTAAGGAGAGGCGATGGTGTTATGTGGCTGCCCTCTTTAGTAGTAAGCAGTGGAGAGAGAATGCAGGAAGATGGTGGTTGTGCTGGGCACCTCTCCTGGACACCTGACTGACGGTCCAGACCATGAGCAGTTTTCCTCCCAATCACTCATCATTCAGGTTCCTGGTCTATGAAGGCTGGAGAACACTTACTTACTTAGAATCACTGAAAGTCACACTTCAGTGATCCGGTTTTGGGGAGGCCAGCAGGGGTGGGGCCATCAGGGGGAGGGGCTATGGGTGGTTGGCTAGTTGGCCCTGCTCCTGGCTGCTGCAGTGCACATCATAGCCACCAGTTGTTCTGGTCATTCTGTAATTTGGTCACTTGGCTTTTATATATATAGATAGAGATATCGATATATAGTTCTAGATATAAAAGCCAAGTGACTGGAATGCCAGAAAGACTAAATTGACCAGAACTACGAGTTGCTATGACACATATTGTAGCAGCCAACCTGTCCAATTGGGGCCCTATTCGGCCCCCCACAGCCTCCCATGGCCCCTCCTCCTGGCTGGCTCCACCCCCAATTGGCCTCCCATCCTGATTGGGGGCAGGGCCAGCCAGCCAACTGCCTGCAGCCCTTCCCCTCCAGCAGTCCTGCCCCCAATTGGCCCCCCTATTTGGGGCGGGGCCGGCCGACCTCCTGTGTCCCCTCTGCCCCGCTGGTTTGGCCCTGATCAGCCCCCATCAGGGCAGGTGGGCTGGACCCCACCCATGCACAAATTCGTGCACTGGGCCTCTAGTCTAAAATGAAGGACATGGTAGATTTTAAAACAACTGTTTGGTAGTGAATCATGTTTACATGATAAACCGAAACCTATTATTTTAAGACTTCTTTGGTGGAAAGGGACAAAGTTAGGAACTTTAGAGTAAAGATATTATAAAACTAAAAGCTATTCCATGGCTATGACTGAAATCAGTGGTGAGTACCTGACATTTTCATGACTAGCATTCTTCCTCCCCTTCTTCAGGCAATGGCAACTCCATCATTCTGGTAGGGCCTCTCATCCTTTGGCCATAGACCTGGCATATGACCTAGCCTCACCAATCACAGTTGCTTAGGACGCTGCTTAGGAATAAGAATCTTAACCAAAGCTGGCATCCTTCCCTGGAATGCTAAACACAAAGGCTGAGTTAGAGGGTCTCTCTCCTTCAGGGATTTGCACACCTGGAGTGGTCTGCATACCTGGAGTTGTCTGCTGCCATACCTCTACCCTCCTTTGTCTTGTGGAGAAAATCAGTCCATAACAGGAGAGGATGAGACTGATCACAGAAACAGAACCAGGACAGAGACATCTGGTAAATTACCAGAGTCCTTGACATCTACTCCCACCATGGATTTCCAAGTCACATGATCCAATATATGCTTCAGTTAGCTTGAGTTGTTTTGGGTACCTGCTACCAAGAGACATCTTATTAACATAAACTCATATCATCCATTTATAATTTAGTGACCCTCCTTCAGCCTGAGCCAAGATCAAGCATAAGGTAAATGATAAGAGAGTCACATGGCTAATTTCCCATGTCATACCCTTGCAATTAGTGAAACAGATTAGCCATTCTTTGAAATATTAAAACAATAATACCACAGCCTTCAGGAACATAAAATGATTATTTGTAACTCAGTTTATTTTATTATATTAAATATATTAGTAAACTCAGTTCTCCAAGATACTTGTTAATTCAACACTACATACAGTTATAAATTCACAACAGATAAGTAAGAAATTAGGAAGAAAAATGGTTAGAAGTAAGGGATACATCTGATAGTTTAAACTCTTCAAAGAGGGGCTTGTTTCTTTCTGTTTCCTTGGAGTCATCAGTCTTCACAGGGTGATTAAAATGTAGAGTAAGGTCACAAAGCAGTAACTGGGAGTGCTCTGTGTAAAACATAACAGAAGGGATCATATTGTAGCACACAAGTCCTAGACAACTATTGTTGCTTTCAGTAGCTACTGCCCAATTCTTGATTTAGTTTTCTTTTAAGAGATTATTGATCAAACCACAATTTAGGTGTGCTTATTGTAACTTCAAGTCAAATTTCTGTACTATAAAATAAGCGTGACAAAAGTTTACTAGAAGGGCTCTTTAGCTCAACTTATCAGCTATCTTACTGAACTGCAAGTTGATTTATGCAAATTTTATTTACACTTTTTAAACTTATCAATTTTGTGTGTTCTGCATGCACATAGTATAAAGAATCAAATAGGTCTATAAGGCATGTTACAAACTAACAGCTTTACCTCCCAAAAGCAATCACTTCTAACTTTTGGAGCTCATTTTGTTTTATTGCTTTTGTTGTTTTGTGTCTGTGGAGTTCTATTGTTTGTTTGTTTGTTTTTCTTTTGAGGTGGGGCTGGAATTACATCCATATTTCTAAATAACAAAATTACAAGTATTACCTATCTGCTTCTGATTACAGAAGATTAAGAGATAACTCTTTTTATTCATGCCATCTCCAATATACTTGAATACAATTTTTGCTAACTCAGTATTTAATGCTTAAATTTTTTTCATTATATAAGTATTCTTCACAGTTGAGTCTTATGACATTTCCCTTCCTTTAAGCTACCACCCAGCCATCGTTAATTTCTTTTTTCATTACTTAATCTCATGAATGTATCTCAAATGCCCTCCAGTTGGGTAAATCTCCTCTCCTAGTTTAAACGCTTACCTATTCTATAGTTGAAAGTCTCTCCTCTCCAGAGCCTTCTGACCTGCTCTAGACTGGACCAAGGCCCTACTGGACCACTGCACAGCTCGCATCCTGGGAGCTCCCTTCACCTTGATCCTAGGGACTCCGTTCCCCCTCCCTCGTGTGGAGCATCCTATTTCCAGAATCTCACGTCTTTCTCTTTTTGGTCTGCATCCTTGGTTGGGTGGAATACAACCTTAGTAACTTCCTGAGGGGGAAAACTATGTCTGAGAAGTTCTCTCTCTACACTAATGCTTAATGGATTCATTGAATAGAGAAATCTAGGCTGGAAATCATGTTTCTTCAGATGTCCAAGGGTGCTTTTGTATTTTCTTCCAGCACCCAGTGTCACTATTGAGAATTTTCAAGCTTCTCGTTTCTCTTTAGAAGCTTTGAGGATCGTTTGTTCTCCCAGTGTTTTGAAGCCTCACAGTACCGTATTTTGGTGTGCATTGATTTTCATCCATTATGTTGGGCTGTTTCATTGTAAAAACTCATACCCTTCAACACTGGAAGAGTTCCTCAGACTATTTCTTTAATGAATTTCTCCTTGTCTATTGTCTATGTCCTAACACTCCTATTTACTGGATATTGAACTTCATTTTGCCTGGTTTGTCATATCCCCCCTAAAACTTTTTCTTTTCTTTATACTCTAGGGTATTTTCTTCATTTTTATCTTTAACCCTCTACAGAGTCTATTTCTATTATAGCATTTTTAATTTCCAAGAGCTACCTCTGTTCTCTAAATATTTTTTGTAGTTTCATATTCCTCTTCATAGACATCCTCTGTGGATATTATAGTTTTTTGGAGTTCTTATTTCCCTTCATAATTTGTTTTTCTTCCTCCTTGATTGAATTTATTTATTGTCTCTATTTTTTATAGTAGATGCTTTCCTCATATGTCTGTGCCACAGCTGTTTTCTCATATTTGAGGCCGTGGTACTATAAAGACTATAAAGGCCATGGTAGGCGATATTGTAGGCTGGTCTGATTGGGTGACTCATGGGGAAACCTATGCTATTAGTCTTTTTAGGTCTTTTCTCTTAGGGTGGTCATATTCCGGGAAGAAAAATCTGCTCGAGGGTATAAATCAGGCTTCTGGTGTTTTATAGGCAAGTGGCAAGAGAAAGCTAGAGGTTAATTTGGTCTTAATACCCTCATTTTTAGTACAGTACTCTCCTCCTCGGCTTGTGACCAATGGCTGCAGGCCAGGGACCCTGGTTTTATCCTCTCATGGAATAAGCCTCGCGTCTCTGTCACAGAGAAACAGCTGCCCAGAGCTGTAGAGGAGGAGGAGACCTTAGGGGCCTATGACTTCTTAAACATTTAACCAGTCACCTGTTCTTAGCTCTACCTCTCCCACTACTTCCAGAGGATTCTGGTACAACCATGTGTTGAGTCTTTGGGCTATTTCTTTGCTTTATCCAACCAGTTCACAGTTTCAATTTTTGGACTTTAGGGTTTAAATTTCTGTTTGTTCCCATTAGCTTTCTGTTTTGTAGTTAACACTTTTTGAGAGCTCTTTGTCTTATGAATTTTTGTCTGTCTGACATCACTTTAACTCTCATGTCTACCAATGATTAGATATCTGTCCTCGGGAACGTTAACGTCTCCATGTCTGTTTCTGTACCTATAAATGCCGATGGTAATATTTCCTACCACACAGGGTTATGACAACCAACGCCACTTATATAAAGCTTTTAAAAGGATATGTGGATTATGGTAAATGTTATGATTATTTATTGACATTATTATTTTGGGGGAGAGTGGGGTAAACAGAGTTTCATTTAATCTTCGATGTTTACCGGAAGTCTACCGTCCTACACGTCTACATAAACCCTTATATCCAAGCTGTCTGACCTACCCCACAACTTTCCAGGACATGTATATCATGTTTATTACTTCTAATTTACTTCATGAAGCGATTATCTAGAACAGTTAGATAATCAAGTGTGGGAGGAATTTTTTAAAAGTGCAAGCACCCAGAACCAATTGTTCATTAAGTAAACATTTTCCAAGAACCATTATATCAAGGCACTGTTAACTACTAGGAATACCTTTAAAAGCTTCCAGTCGAGCAGGGACAGGGAAAGGAAGTAAACATGCAATTACAACACAGTGTGGTAGATGGTATGAAAAAGTAGAAGAGGTAACACGCTGGCTTAAAGGAAGTTTTCCAACCTACTTAGTCTTGACTAACACAGTGTAGTAAATAGCAGCTAACCTGGGGGGGTGGAGGTGGGGGTGCAGCACTGGGCATTTCAGAAAGAGATGCATGTGTTAAAACACAGATTTAAAAAAAAAAAGCGCAACTGTGTAGAGGTGCACACAGTTCAGCATGGGAAGAGCACAGCACATGCAGGGGGGAAATAACGAGACGAGAGATTGGATGGGCTGGGGCCTGGTCTCAAAAGGTCTTATAGTCCATTCAGGGAGGACAAGTGAACCAAAGGGAGTTTTCAGCATATTTACATGTTAGAAGATAATCCTCGCTGTAAATTGAGATTGGTTTTAGAATGAATTAAACAAAGCTAACCAGATTTCTTTACATCGTACTCTTCGGTGCCTTTGCTAATGTATACTATAAATTTGTGAAATGCAGGGCATTATGCATTTCCCAAGCTTAAGTCCCGGAAGAATGTGGAATCCACTGCACCCATTTATTAGCATCTCTTAGGACAGCAGGGATCACAGAGCAAAGTGTGGTAGATGCTGCTCTGAGAGGAGCAGGTGGAAATAGCCTAACAGACTCACTATCTGGTCCTAACTAACAGCCACCTTCCTCCTCTTCTTGGTGGCACACTCTGCCTCCATGTGTGCCGGTCCTCTCCTCCTCAGCCTCAGCAGGAAGTTCTGACTGGTCTACACTGGTCTCGGCAGTCTCCTTCCCCTTGGCAGCAGCTGCTGCCGACAGTTGCCTTTGATGCATATCTGGTCAATGACAGAAAAGGGGAAATGTGCTGGCGGGATCTGGGAAAGGCTTATGTAAAGAGAAGAGGTAGAGGCAGTGTCTGGCCAAGTCTACAGGTAATGATCATGAGGAGTAATGAGCAGAGTCAATATAACAGAGAAAAAAGAGAAGGAACCCAGTATCCGATGAAGTTTCTAAAACTCTGAATCCATTGTAGGCTGCCCCACCTTGGATCTTCTTGTTCTTTTCTTTACACATAAGCATGATAAGTTGGTATTTTTTTTACATGTAGCTGATAGCCTCATAACTGACAAAAGGCTACCTTCAAATATCCAAGAGTTGTGAAAAGAATTACATAATTTATGTAGTTTTCATGGTTAGAAGTAGGACCAGCAGGTGAAAGGAATGGGGAACAGGTTGCAGCTAGTCCATAAGGAGCAGCAATCTTAAAATGGAACAGGGTGACTGGTGGGACAGGGAGTTCCCTGACACGGGGAAAGTTTGGTCAGGGAAAGACTACCCTTAGAAATCCTCAGTCATGGAAATTTCACATGCCTGGGCTAAAACAGAACTTGTCTGTGAGGTGAGTGCCCAAACATTGTGCCCTGTGAGGTCTAATCCAACTCTATGAGTCTGTTTAAAATGAAGAGCCCTTAACTCACAGAATCAAACAAACTTCTAATTTTTAATTTGTAAAGAACCTTAGGGGCTTAGTAAAGATAAATGGATAAAGACACTGAATTTTGTAGAATGTGACAAGGTCATTTAATAGTTTGTTGAAAGGAAAAAAGGCAGTAATTTAGAGAGGCTAGATTATCATAAGCTTGTTAGTGTCAAGGATGGGAATTCAAGCCGGCTAACTCCCAGTTCAATGCTTAAACATAATTCATCTTTAGAGATCTAGTTCACACTATAATGTAAGCATTTCTTAAACAAAAAAGTCCTAAATAGTGGGCAAAGGTCACTAACACTCCATCAGAAGTCAAAATGGCTCTACTATTTATTTTATAACAATGATATGCAAACATTTTAGTTTAGTGATTCCATACTTACCTTTCATCTTCTTCAACTCCAAAGAAATTGTATTAATATTTTTAATTATGGCTTCCACATTTAGCCTATGGTCAGAAACATCACTGTTCAACATCTGATTTTAAAAGAGAAACAAAAATAGTATAAAATCAGACACATTTATATGTTATTAAAATACTTAAATTTTTAATACTTCTAAAAGGAAAACCTATTATTACAGAACAGGTAATTGTGAAACAGTAGTCTTTATAAATAGTTAGAATTCTAACATAAAAAGATATCAACTTATTATGCTAATACTAGAGGTCCAGTGTATGAAATTTGTTCAGGGAAGGGGGGGCATCCCTCAGTCCGACCTGCACCCTCTTGCAATCAGGGACCGGTAGGGGGATGTCTGTCTGCTGGTTTAGGCTCCATCCTGTATGGTTCTCTGCAATCTGGGACTGCTGGCTCCTGCTTTCCTTCCTGCCTGCCTGATCACCCCTAAACCCTCTGTGACTGATCACCCCTAACCACTAGCCTGCCTAATTGCCCTTAACCATTCTGCCTGCCTGATTGCCCCTAACCCCTCTGCCTGCCTGATTGGCTGTAACCACTCTGCCTGCCTGATCACCCCTAACCACCTCTGCTTCGGCCCCTGCTTCTGCGGCTTCATCTGGAAGGACATCTGGAATGACGTCCAGAAGGTCATGCGACTGTCTGGTCTAATTAGCATATTACACTTTTATTATAGATTTTCTCAACTCAAAACCTCTAACTGGAAATCTTAGGATGAAGTTTCTTCTTTAATCAAACCATTTCCACAAGATGGAGCCCTTAAAGGGGAGATACAGACATCCCCTTCTCAGCAAGCCTACACACTCATAAACTCCCTGACACCTGAGCCATCATTATTTACATGGAAGTCACTATCTTCTTCTAACTTCTTATTTTTTCTAACTTATTCTTGAGTGACAAGATCCCAGGAAATTTTTTTTTTTAAAGAGATAGTAAAATTCAAAATAAGATTCAATTATAATTACTTGACTAAGAGGAGAGCAAAATGATCACTTTTATCTTAGCAAAGGAAATCAGGGCAACCCCATTCCACCTCTGAATATTGGTTGAGTGAAATCCGTAAATCACCATGTTACTGTTATGTATGCAGCACATATATTTAACGAATTGAGCCAGAAACAAAAACGTAGGTGGGTCACTGGAAACCAAGCTAACCTGAGCCATTCAAATCTCTCAAAACACTTGAAACAGAAGCCGCAGTCAGCAGTCAGCACGCCTCACGCCAGCAATGTTGCAAGGTGGGCGGTTAGAGGCCTTTGAAAACAGTTATTTCCTTGCCTCCCCCTTTCCCTCTGAGTCAGAGGGATTTATCCGATTCCTCACGCTCACTGCAGAGCCACTGCAAAGGAAGCAACATTTTCCTTTTCAGAACAACAAATTAAACACACTTGGCATCCACCCACAAGCCCCTGGGTGTCACAGCTGGAATGGCAGCTGTATCTTGGGGATGGCAAACCGAAGGATTCAGGTCCGAGGGGGAAAGGAGAGATTATATAAAAACATAGGGGGTGGATGGGGGTAGTGAAATGAATTTTAAAAGTGAAGAATGAGTGTAAATTGAAAAAATAGAAAAAAGAAAAAAAAGAACAAGGAGGAAATAGATTTCACTAAATGGACAGTGAAAAATGCCCAAGAAAGTTGACCCTTCCATTCAGAGTCTGGTTGCCTCTGGCACCCATGGGTGGGTGGGTGGGGTCAGCGTGCAGAACTGCGAGGAGACCCCGCTTCACTGGATGGAGGCGGAGCTGCCTCAGCCTCCCCCGGGAGCTTGGTCAGGCCACTCCTGTCAGGAGAGGTGGGCAGTCTTCCCAGTAGGTGGGCAGTCTTCCCAGGAGGTGGGAGGTGGAGACAGGACTCGGGCAGAGGGAAGCGTGTGACGAGGCCAGACACCTACACGCAGGCACCAATCCCTTGGCTGGAGGCAGACACACTTAGGCCCGCACCTGCATTCTAACCACCACCCTCTCCTCCCCTTCCCACTCCCCCTCCCCCTTCTTCTTCTCGGCCCAACTGACACCCTCGAGGACCCCTGGCTTTTGGGGGCCCTAGGCAAACGGAAGGGGACAACAGGGACCACGTGAACCGCCTTCACGTGACCCTGCGGACAACCCCTGGCCCTGCTGCCCTGCTGGACTGGGCCGCCAACCACCCTACCCCACGCAACCACCCACCAGGGGCTCCGCCGCCATGGACACTAGTCCGGGCCCTGAAGATGGACCCTAGGCTAGCCTGGACATTTCAACAGCCTCCACCGTCCCGGCCCCAGGCCCCACACCGGATTAGGATGACCTAAAACCGGGAACCCTGGCCTGCCCACAACCTGGCGCACCTCACAGCCCACCAGGCCCAGGGTCACTGCGGCTCTGACCCCTAGAGGGGTGGGGCGAGCGGCCGTAAAAGGGAGAGGACTTCCTGATTGGCCAGCTTCTCTGCCTGATGCATTCTGGGAGTTGTAGTCCCAGGCAAGAAGTACCGTTTTCCGTTACCTTCAGGTCAGGGGGGGGGGGGGGTGGAGGGGGAGGAGAGGAGAGATTATACAACAATATAGGGGGCGGGTGGGGAAGGAATTTAAAATGAGGAAGGAATGTAAATTTAAAAAAAGAAAAATGAGCCTCACACCATGTTTCCCTCCACCCCAGCCTGGTCTCCACCTCCCATCTCCTGGGAGACTGTCCTGTCTGAGGAATGGCCTGACCAAGGAGCAAGCTCTAGATGCCAGGCTGAAAGTGGCTGGCGCTGTGGTGTGCGCAGAGAGGGCGGGCAGGAAGGTGCAGACATCCCCTCCCTTCTATGTGCCCTGCACTGTGCTAGGTGCTTTACAAACCTCCTCTGCATTTAATATCCACAGCTTAGGAGGGTGGTTAAAAGGACAGACTCTGGACTGAAAGTGCTGGAGTTTGAATCCTACTCCATCACTTGTTTAGCTATAAAGTGGCTGGGAAGTGCGATAATCATTCAGAGTCCAAATGTCCTCATCTGTCATACCCAGATAGTAACTGCTGTCTAGTGGTCTTTTGAGGGTTAAGAGAGAGAATGCATCAACGGGGCTTGGCAGATGATGTGCCCAATAAATGTGCGCTGTCATCGTTCCTATAAATTTTTATGGATGAGCAAAGAGCACAGATGAGCTGAGAGATGTTCACTGGTTTCTTGACAAATAGAGACGTTGGGATTCCGGCCTTCTTTGCTGGATTCCAAGAGGAGTCTCTGCCACTTCCTTTGGAAGGAAGAAGGAAAAGGAAGGAAGATCATAATAATTTCAAAACAAGTTTAACAGAAATCTTATTGGATGCATCATTTTTTAAATTCCCCTTATACTGATGCAGACTAGTTAAAACTGCACCTCATATCTGCAGGATTCTAGATGTGCTGTAGGAAACACCCCATGGATAACGCAGAAGAAAATAAGGCCTTTAAAAGAGCTAGGGTGAACAAAGGCAGGTAGGTGGAGATAGCATTAAGACTGAGAATCCTGCCCTAACTAATTTGGCTCAGTGGATAGAGCATCGGCCTTTGGACTCAAGGGTCCCAGGCTTGAGCCTGGTCAAGGGCATGTACCTTGGTTGTGGGCACTTCCCCAGTAGGAAGTGTGCAAGAGGCAGCTGATTGATGTTTCTCTCTCATCGATGTTTCTAACTCTCTCTCTCCCTCTCCCTTTCTCTCTGTAAAAAAATCAATAAAATATATATTTTTTTAAAAAAAGACTTAGAATCCTGAAAATTGGGGATGAGGTGTGCTGGGCTGAGTAGAAGGTGCTATCTCTGGAGCCCCATTTCCCCATCACCTTGAATCTACTCACAAATGTTTTCCAGGCCTGCTTAGGCTCAACCACCTGCCTCCCAGCTTCTGCTCACAGGAGATAGAACCTGGAGACCTGTCACACATCCAGAGTGCTGAGTGCTTCTTAGGAGTAGATTCAAACCACTGTAACTTGGGAAAAAATCATCATTAAACTATTTTTAAAAGAAGGATAAACATTGTGTTTATTTTAAATAAACATTATAAATGGGGGAAAGGGGATCTGAACTCAGAAAAACATAGATTGTAATAATGTACAGTATTTTCCTTCATAAAAATGTCTTGGAGCCATGATGACTACTTATTGTGGTGTCCATCCTCCATAAGTAATTATAAATTCCCTTTTTTTCCTCCACAAGAAAACTTTAAAAGCATGATCTGCTACTTAAGGCTCGAGACTATTAACAGATGAGGCCCTGAAAACAACTCTATCTCTTTAAATACGTTTGCAAATACAACATTTTGCTGGAGCCCAACACAAGCTGTAGCTATGGATTCTAATGCTAATCAAATAAAGAAAATTAAAAAGCCCATGAGTTCCCCCATTAAGAGAAAGCTGTTATAGAACAACAAGGTGATTAAGCATTTTATGGAACCAGGTGTGAATGCCTCAGTTAGTTTTATTACTAATTCTGGACATAAAGCCTTCATTTCCAGGAAAACCAATTGGGTAAATTATCTCACTCTTCCACTCGCTCTCAGAGCTCCCATTCCCATCCTCTCCCTGCCCCTTACCAAGTGACAGTGTGGTCTCTGTGCCTAGGGACCAGCTTCTTGCTAGAGCATCTGGATATTGCTTTGTACAACCCTTTGTACCCAGACCTGGCAGGCAAGGAGCATGTGCTTGGATATTACTTAAAGAGCACGGCCTGTGCTGGAAAGATCCAGGAAGCAAGAAGGTATGTGACTTCTGCCATGAAAGTTGGGTCCCTTTCCCACTGTCTTCTGCAAATAGCTGACATTCATGGGGCAGAGTCATTTTCTTCTTTCTCCAGAAGAAACACTTCTGAACTATAGGAAGACATTTATATATATAAAAGCCTAAGCGGCCTTTACAACAGAATGACCAGTTGAGCAGTTGCTATGATGCGCACTGACCACCAGGGGGCAGACACTCAACACAGGAGCTGTCCCTGGTGGTTAGTGCACTCCCACAGCCAATCTCCTATGGCCCCTCTCCTCAACCTGTCCCCCCATGACCCCAATTGGGGGGGCTGGCTGGCTAACCTTTGTGACCTCTTCCCCTGGATGGCCAACCTC